TTTTCACTTGGCATTATCTCACACAAATTTGACCACAGGTCTGTGTTTATTCTCCCCAAACTTCCAATTTACCAACTGTAGCTCTAAACTTACTAGCAGCAGACACACCAACCATGGCTGCAAGAGTATGTTAATTTGTGGGTTTGTGTTCAACTCAATCTCTGACTGAACTCAGAACTCACCAGAAGCTTTTCTTCTCTCTTTTTTTTCCTGTCTCTCACATTTTTCTTGTCTCTGTACATTCATAAAACAATTTCATGAACTTCTGATTAAACCGAAACATTTTCAGCTCTTATGGTCACAATTTTGTGTACATTTGTGACTTTCTACTTAGTTTGTATGCATTCATGCCACACCATCTTTGCGTTCTGTCTGAACACACAATATGACTACAGTCAGTAGCTAGGTGGCTTAGCTTATAGCCAAGACTAGAACTCACCAGCTAGCCCAGAGCTCACTAAATTATTCTAACCACATTTCTAAAACTCAGTAATTAACAAATTTTATTTTGTTTAAAGTGTAAAAACAATTTGGGGTGGTTGTGTGCCAGACTCTTTCTTCCCTTCATGAAGCAGCCTACACTTCCCAAGTACTGCTCCTAGCAAAAAAATAGTCTGCAAATAGCCCCCTCTAAGATAACCATTTTTACCATTTTTGTACAAATTAACAGACACACAAGGCATACTGTGTTATTTAGTGAGCGTAAAAGGAGTTAGTATATGGATTTTGTTATGTTTGGGCAGAGGAAGGCGAGCTGCATCCCCGTTTCCAATCTTTATGCTAAGATAAGCTAAATGGCTGCTAGCTGCAGCTTCGTATGCACTGCATAAATGTGAGAGCACTATCAGCCTTCTAAACTAACTTTCAGCCAGACAACAATAAACCCAACGGCTATAATGTTGGGCCATTAATTACATTAAAAGCTACAACTGCTTCATCTCTTAAGCAAGATGGTTGGGGTCATCAAAAATGTGTTTGTCATCAATATAAAAAGTCTGTGGTCACCACAAATCTAGGCATTTCTCCAGAATTGTCAGACCTAAGTGCAAAATTTTGATAAACCTTTCTGGTTTCATGACACTGCATTTCTCCCTCTCACTGTCTTGGCCTCCATGTCAGCTGGCTGCTCCTCATAGGTAGCCACTTGTTCCCCCAGTGCCAAACACTTTGCTGTCACAGCATTCACTTCCCGCAAAGAAAATTAAAAGTTAACAGAGAACAAGGCTGAAAGTAAAGAAGTTCAACTTAATTTCAGGAGACACTCTGCAGTGTGGGAACTAAATCCCACCACAGGTCGAAACAAAGTGGAAAAAGTCCTTGTTGCCACCCTAAACACCTATTATAAGAACCATCAGCACCAGCACATCCACCCTGTTTCACTGAAAAGCAAGCAGACACCGCAATGCAGTGGAAGGGGGAGGAGGAGGAGGAGGAGGAGGAGGAGGAAGATGTGAAGGAGGCTAACTAGACACAAAAGCCCTGTCCACCAATCCATTCACCAGCAGGGGGTTTCAGCTCATCTACTCTTTCTAAAGAACCAGATTAATTGGTGTTGGATGCAATTACTGTGGGTGCCTGAATTTACATTTGGACACATGCAGGGAGGGTTTGGTGGTGGAGTTGAAAAGCCTCGCTGGGAAGCTGGCAGGGTCCTTGATGGACAGCAGTAGGCAAAGCAAAAGTAGTCTGGTCCTGCTGCTGTTGCTGCCTGTGTTCATGTATCAGCCAGCAGCTGGAGAGAAGCCTGTTGTAAACCACATCCAGTGCAGTTGACTAATTTTAGCAGCCAAAAATAAATATGGCATTAAGTTGGAGTTTTGGTTGATTCAACAAATGTAACTCTCCTTTTAGAGCGGTTTTTTGATTTTCACTAAGCCCTAAGGCTAATATATAATTCTTTAGGTGCTAAAAGGGAACAGCTGTGGCTCAGGAGGTACAGTGGTCAGTCCACAACTAGAAAGTCAGTGGTTTGATTCCCATTCTCCCCAGTCCACATGTCAACTTGTCCTTGGGCGAGACATTGAACCTCAAGTTGCTCCTGATGACCAGAGCAGCGCCTTGCAGGGACAGCGCCACCATCAGTGTGTGTGTGATTTGGTGGTGCAGATGGCTGCCTCTGGTTCTGTACCGGAGACAAATTCTTTGTATGTGTAACATACTTGGCCATTAAAATTGATTAAAAGTAAGTAAAAGCTGTTAAAACACTCCACAGGAGAAACTGCAGTGTTAGGATTTCTCACAAGGAGTGACGACTTTGACATTACAGGTCATCACTTATCAATGTTTGAAACCTGCGATATGATCAAGATTATTATTCATTTGGAGTTGTGTCTCTGGCCACCTGGTAGATGTGAGTCCAGTATTAGCTCTCTTTGATGTTTTTCTGCTGTATCCACCAACTTCGGAAAGGAGTATTCAAGTCTTTAGCTGCTAAATGTTCCACTATGTTCACCAGTTCACTGTGTTTTACCACAGCCACCAACTTCCTGTGATGCAAGAAAAGCACTATGAAACAATGAAGACAGAAAATTTGGGGTCCTTGCAAATGGAGCAGGATTGGCAGAACACAATAGTCAGTAGTACTCTTTAAAATGAACGTGTCTTGTTTCATCACTGTCAGTCTATCATTGTGCTGAGAGAACTGCAGCTAGTTGTGGGCTGAGCTGGGTAGTATTCACTCTCGTCCTCCACATCTCTGCTCTCCTTCTACCTCTCTGCCGACTTCCCACCAAGTCTTGTCACTCTGCAGCTGCTTCCAATTCAAAACCAGAGAACTCAGCCAGCGGGAACATTATGGCACTGTATTACACCCTGCATTACATCTGTAAGGGAGAAATCAAAGACTCCCTCGCATCTGGCCCGGCTGGGAGGAGATGGGCTCTGGCATGTGTGAGGCTGGGGGGAGGATTTGGAAAGGTTGGTGCCTCAGGTTGCAGTGGGCTACCAGCCCAGACTGTGCGAGTGCTGCTGATCACCACCCAGTGGGTTGTGCCACCGAGAAGCAGCTGTTCAAGTTTCAGTTGATTTTCCAGGAAGCCGTAGGGAGAAGGAGCAGAGAGACATTTGACAACACTGCCATCTATTGTTGAAGGTACAATATCACAACAAAGGTCTGATAACACAGGTCTATAATTTTAGAAATGAGCTAGTTATTATGAATTTTTATATGCTGAATTAAAATGTGACCACTAAAAGAGCTGATTGGCTATAATTTTAAAGATAATTTTATCATTCATGTTTTTTGCTGACATGCAATAAACTGACATGTAAAGATAATGACACCCTTTGACCTCAAGAAAAAAAAAAATCGGGGCAAAGAGCTTTACATCTTGAGCTATGAATTTAATAAGCGCCTTAGTTAAAGGAAAAATGTGTGGCTTGTACTGCTGAGACACAACAATAGTTTTGTCGAAAGATCCACCAAGAGTTTTGGTTACAATTTCTGGTTTTGCTTGGAGATCGTGCCTTCTGTAATCTGACAAAGTTTGGTCATTTTCAAACAAAATTCATACATCACCAGTGCCATGTCATACAATCCAGAGCCAATCAACATTTTTAGATGTCATCCGTGTTTTAGTGGCTCAGAATTAGTAAAAGAATATTTTTGTTTTGGAAGCATTTTGGTTGTAGACCAGTGTAATGTACAGTTTAGTACATGTATACTTGCAAAGGTACTATAAGTAGTGACAGCAGTAACTTCATTTAACCTTAATAAATTGACTAATAGTCGATCCCTTATCTAACCCCAACCATCTCTATTCTTAAAAATCCACCACCACCAGTTTCTCACATGAAGCTCAGTTTATTTGTCACAAGCAGGACTACTCAACCTGTGTGTTCATGTCAACAAATCAAGACAGAGCTGAGAAAATAACCCTGACAATGCCATCAGGGTTATTGTTGTTGCCTGGTCAAATTTTAGACTCAAATCCTGGCTACAGCCCTGGCTTCCACTAACTTCTTTGTTACCAGGTAAGTTGCCATGATATTTTAACAGTCATCTCAGCAACATCACGATGTTCCTGCTGGATGAAGGTCTTCTCCTGTGCAGCCTTCCCATGCTCTTTCTTCAGATGTTCAAGCTGTTTCTGCAGTTGTTCAGAATCACACAAAATCTCATCCTGCAGAGAGAGACACTGAAGATGGTGATGGATTTTGACAAGGTTATCGATCAAGCCTGCCTGTCACTGTGCAAGCTTCAGTAAAATTGATGGGATGGGATGCAACATGTAATGGACTGCCTCTGAGAAAACTTAATTTAGATGTGCCATCACCCAGAGAAACATGCAGCAGACACACTCAGTAGCAGCAGTACCCTACCCTTTCTTTGTGCAGTCATACTACTGCTGCATCCAGATTGTAGCCAGGTTGAGACACAGTGGTGGTGATGTAGGCTTGCTGGTTGCTCAGTTTCCCCTCTAGCTCCACAATCCAACATTCAAGACACTCATTCTCATCCACAAAACAATGGTCCAATAGGGTACAGAGAACGCAAAAAAGTCTGGTACATATACACACACACACACACACCAACAGTATATATTCACTGCATCATTAATCAAGAACAAAGGCATAACACAGCAGAGAGAGAACAAGGTGTTTATGTGTCATTCATTTAGAGGAAAAACAGTATTTGTCCTCACAAGTTCAATAAGCCTAACCAGGCCGTTATACGTAGTGACGATGGCGCAGTCCTGGACAAACCAGGTCAAACCCTCCTTGTTGAGAGACTTGGCAGCTACAAAGCCTAACTTGTCACAGTCGCACTTGTCAAAAGCCACACCCCCTGAGAGAAGGACACAAAGTGCTAAAGACACTGAAAGGTTCCTAGCGGAGATTATCTGACCCACCTTGATCTAAGCATACAGTCATGCATAAACCTGAAATAAACCTAACTATACAGCATTATTCTTTAAACGCTTCAGTGCATTTTTGCCCTACCCATCACGGTAAATGAACAGTGTACAACATGATGTTTCTTTTTTTCAAGAGCACAAAATGCACGTCATCATCACTGAAGCTCTCCCTCAGGGCGACACCAGCCACCCATATTCAGCATTTATATTCACAATTTAAACATATTAAATTTACTGTGTTGTCATTAATCATGTCAGTATGCAGGCTTCCACAGATTTTTAAACACTTAAACATGCGTCTTGCATCTTAAACATATGAAAAGCGGAAGCGTAACAACATTTAGAACCTGTCCCTAAGATCTAACGAAGCCACCTTTTACCCAGAGCCTGACACTGACCTGATAAAGGCCTGGTACTGCCCCCACCCAATGCATACTCAACCCCTCCAGTCTGAGCATGGCCATGGGTGGAGATGGGTTTGAATTGGGCTGCAACATAACAACAGGCAATCAGGGACAGCAGGTCCAAGGTGGAGGCTTTTATATTCACAAGGATTGAGAATGTAGCGCTGAGACGAAGGATCTCTCATTGGCCACTAACACAGCACGCTCATCAGCCAGCAACAATTTCACATGTTCCAGAGGAATACATGAAATCATTTAACAGTTGTTTTTCCTCAACCAAGATACAATAGGATTTATATCCTGATTCAAAAAAGGATGTTGAACTGAAACACAAACAGCTTTACACAGTTTTATTTATGTTAAATAAATTAAAAGTACTAATAAATTCTGAGAAGTTGAAAAAAGATGCACGGGTTTCCTTTCCTACCTTTAGATTTTTAGCACACTGACAAAACTGAAGACAAAAAGCACAATGAACTCACACAAATACATCACTTGGTATGGTGGCATAACGTGACAAAGTTGAGGTTATTTATTATACAGAAGCACAGAAGTTCCTTATTTCAATAACCATGACAAGTTTTGCAAGAGGGACCATGGGAGGGAAAAATCCTGAATCCTGCAGAGTAATGAGCCATTAAATCTTGCACCCAGAAAGTGTCGTATCTCTTGGAGTATTACTCATTTGGATTTACCACAAGGAATACAGCAACCGTCTTGGCATCACACAGGCTTAAAGCAATGAATATGGAATGTAAACAGTTATAGAAGTGAAGAAAAAAAAGAACAGACATTATCGATTCCACCATCCGGACAAAAATGACAAACTTTAGATACCCCATGCTGACAGTCAAATACCCTTGAAACAGGGAAACAATCACTACAATATTTACACCACATGAGACATAAAGAACCACGGAGGGTGACTTCACTTGACTCCGGGCAACCAGGAAGTTGGCATGTTAACAGACTTGTTTTGTAACTCAAGAGGAACTGGCCAAACAAGAAGTAAAGGTGATAGTTGACGTTACACAAAAACACCAGCACACTATCAGGATAACAGAGTGATTAAAAACAAGTGCTGACATTTTAGAACGTACAGAGCTAAAACAAACCAAAAAAACCATACTGTAGAAGGAGCCAAAACTGCTCAGACAAAAAATATAAATAATCAAAATACAATGGATATGGTAACAAATATCTTAACAATTATCTCCTCTGAATTGGATGATTGTCATGGTTTATCTTAAGCTTAAACATTCTTGGTGACAGATTTCCACAATGATCCCATTTCAAACTATCAAATGCTTTGAACAGTCTACTTGCATTCAGTTAACTTCTTAAAACTTCAGGAATTTCATTTTCTTTAGTGTAAATAAGTCTTTACTTTAGAATCTAACGATACATAGTGTTTTCACATTCAGCCACTGTTCAGGGATTATTTTGGCATGAGCACCGACAGCAAGACGGGTCAGCTGAGGACGAGGACAACTCTAGCCTGGAGGCGCAGGTCCTGTGGGTCGTCGGGAAGCGCATAGACATATCAGTTCAAACCACTCCCAGGTGCTTCCAAATCCACTGAGCAGTCATACTGTGAATGAACTGAAGATATGACAATCAAATCAGAAGTCTTGGTACCAATAACATGGGAGTTTGTAAAAGGCAGGGTGCAACACAGCTGCACTGGTCTCTAAAAGATGACAAAACACCAAGTGGATTATGTTATACAGTGTTGCACAGGTCCACACCCTTTGCCAAGAGGAAGCCAGGTTGGGAATCAACTCCAATCACGACTGACGCAGCGATGACACCGTCGGCCTTGTTTACTCCTCGTCTCCTGACATGAGGAAGCCCAGAATGAAATTGATGGATTTCTGCCGGTCATGTGACGTCTGCCTGCCCACCAGGTTTGGAGGTGGTCGGATAAGGAGGCTGGCAAAGAGGGTGGCTAAAATACAAGAATGGGACAAAGAGGTAAAGAAAAAAAACCAATATAGGTAAGACCAACTTAATCTTCCATCAGATAAAATCAAACAGTATTACAGTACATGGTTTGCATATACAGCACTGTGAAGCTAATATAAGCTGCTACAATATTCAGGTCATTGTAGCCAAACACATAGTATATAAAAGCATTGAGGGACGGGCACCATTTAAGAAGTTTTCATTAGAATCTTTCTGTGAACATGGATGTCACTACTGTTGTTGTCTCATTAGCTTACAGAACAAGTAATGTTAATGTTCATGGTTAATTAATCATATTGATGGGAAAATCAGAACAAGCACAAGGACACACATATAACAAACATTACAATAGCTTTAGTATAATGAGCTATAAAGTACAGCGATTATGATAGAAGCCATCCATTCTGTACCTGTGAGGCTGGCTGTTAGGTTGTTGTTGTGTGAGTGTTTGAGAAGTTCCTTCAGAAAGGCCATTAAGTAGCGAAACACATTGCGGTGAGCCCGGGGTAGCTGGGAGATTAGCTGTCAATCACCAAGATAGAGACAAAGATTAGCTAGACACATTTACTGTATAAAGTAATATTGCTGTATCAACGGTGTAGAGGGTTACTGCACCTGTTTGCAGAGGCGGCTGTCATGAGCGCAGTCTAGGCACCGTTGGTAGAGTTCGTAACATACTACTGGCTCCGGCAGGGCCTCCAAGAAGATCAATAGGGCCTCTGCTACAGAGTGGTTACAACCAGCTGCATGAACAGTTAGGGAAGCAAGCAAACGGGATAAAGCAAATAGGATAAACAGGAGGGAATGAAATGGACTGCAAACTTCCTAATGAGAATTTTCAGACCCAGTCTCAGTCTGTGTGTCTTACTACATGTAGCAAATGAGCTCACTGTGATTTTAATGCTTTTTGAGCCAAGACATTCAGAGTCAGGGTCCAGATTTACCCTTCTCACTTTAACTGTTAAGACAAAACGGGGTCTATGTGTTAACAGAGTAAGAGTGATGTACACATGTCTGTTATTTTATTTGTTGCTTGGCATTTCAGTGACTGCAGTACTGGGTCTTGGTGAAATCTGGGCCAGTGCAAGAGGCTTCATAAATAAGGATACGGATGGAGTCTGGGATGCTGGTGTCCAGACAGTCGATGATACTCTGCAGCTCCTCTTGCAGGCCAGGTGTTTGGAACAAGTCCTCCTGAGAGTCATACAGAGATAAACATGGAGCATTTAATGCAGCTCACAGACGTCCGATTATCGGGTGTTCAGACAGGAAGTGTGGCAAGATTTAGAGGCAGAAAAATTGCATATACACTACAAGTCATAGGTTTTGGACATACTTTTCTGCTGAATTGAAAGTGTGTCCAAACTTCTGCTCGGTAGTGTAATCAAAGTAAAGATACCATTAGACAAGAATTTACCTGGGGCAGAGCGAAAATGTTTCAACTCAATGTGCTTCATAAAGGTACAGAGACGAGAGGAAGAGTGAACAATAACAGATTCTATCCTTTTGGCCATTATGTGCACATTGCTGTTGTTGGTTTCTGAAAAATGTGTTGTGCATAAATAACCAGTAGTCATTTTCAAAATATTACATCATACTCACAAAGGGACTATACTTGTTAAAAAAAATACTAGAAAATATATTAGAGTATTGTCATTACTGCTTTGATGAAAACACTGAAGCACAGAGAGGAACTATGTTGTATTACTATGTTAAAAGTTACAAAAGCTAACTTAGCATCACCACAGTAACTCAATGAGCTACTTTCCTTACCTTCACAGTCACATCACTTCTCTTTAGCTTTAGCGTTCTCACCTGATCACAGGCCTTGGTGTAGAGGTGGTTGACCAGAATCCACACCTCCTTGGGGATCTTTAGAGGTGTGTCCTCAGTACCTGCACCATCCACCATGAGGAATTTCATCTTTGACTTCTCCTGTTGAGATGTTACACTTTGTTTTACAAACTGCAGCAGATATATTAGCTTATTTTTGGAAGATCAAACAAGATCTCCCCATTTATTCATTTAAAGAAAAATTATTGGAATTCATGACATTATTCCCATACTCTGTGATTCATACTGTTTTGATCAAGTGTAACAGAGACTCCTAGAATGACTGCTCAACACATCTGATCAATTAGTGATGGAGCAGGAGCAGCAGTGAGGTCAAGATTATCTGCAGTGTCTGGAGACTTGAAAGAGACCCATTTCACTAAGAGCTGGATATCACGGTCTTTTGTCTCTGCAAATGGATCCGTGAGACTCACAAGAGACATCCAAAAATAACCACAGCTAGTGAGGCTGCGCACGAAGGCAGCAGAAACTAGAGTGAGCTATTAATGGGGCACAATACTACCATGCAGAACTAATGTGATACTCTGTAAAATGTTTTAGCAACCAAAGTGACTCTTAATGATGAGTGGGGTGACTCTTCCAATAAAAAGACTCTGTGTCTACTTGTGCAGTTATTTGGTTTCACTGATGAAGAAAGAACTTGAAGAGGAGACTGAGCTGAACACACCCTAATACTTCTCTTCCTTAGCTTTAATCATGTGACTGGAGGAACTGTGCAGGAAGGGTGGCCTCCTGCGAAATGGGATTTAATGTGCATGTCTAACCTTCACTGGACTGTTGTGTCCTGCCCTCAACAGGCTATGGGGGAGATTTAATGGGTGACTGAGCAACACACAGTTTATAACTAGGCTGGCATGTCTGGTTTGTGTTTGCTGGTAGGTTACTGGCTGCTGCCCTAGTCAACTTACTGAAATTTAGAGCAAGTATGCACTGATTCAGCTTTCTGTTCAGCCTTAGCTGAATTTAATGCTGCACATTTACAGGACAGAGCCTAGACTGGGATTTTGCTATGATATTAATGTCGCAACTGATTCTAATAAGACTTGAGCCAGTTGCACATTTTGACATGAATCAACGAGGTCAATAGAGTGTCATAGAGCAGACACTTGATCACAAACGTCTTACAACTAAAGTCATACTGACCCTGCTTTGATGGATAACACTGATCATTATTAGAGTTAATGTTTTACCTTATCCATGTAGCTGTCCTCTCCCTGAGCAAGAAGTCAGCCCACAACCATAGTGAAGATTTGGAAAGGAATGATCAAGGCAAGGAGGGGTGAAGAAGGGAAACAAAAGAAGAAAACATACAGTAGAGAGAAGTGCTATAAATAAAAACACACTAGATAGATTATGGATCGCTCATGCATAAATCATTTGATCATATATACCAGGCCAGGAGGAAAATAGAACAGTTTAAGTAGAAATAAAGGAGTAGTGCATGTCACTCTGTATTCCAAAGCCAAACCAGATTAAGTAGAAACTGCATTATGGAGCTAGAGAGAGGTGATCATATTAAGGCCAGAGGAAACTATTGATATTAAACAGGCTAAAGTGGATCTAATGTGAGTCAGTTTTCCATGTTCATTGGGAGCTCTCTTCCCATGTTTTAGCTACTTCCTTATTCCCTTGGCCAAAAATATTCATGTTGAGACATTTTCTATTCTTCACATTCAGGTTTCCTCAGTGACCGAATTTACTCTGAGGGAGGAAACAAGTCCTCACACATCCGCTCAGGTTCTGAATCGCTACAGAGGGGGAACAGCCATCAGATTACAATCTGAGCTAGACTGCTCTGCAAACAGAAAGGTTTATGTTTCAAAATCAGCTTTCAAATAATTTCAGGAAAATGTCTTTTTTTTTTTCCACTAATCCTATCAGTTAAACTGGCCTGAATGTATTTCTCTTTTTGTGAATGCTGAACTAGCGTTCCCTCACCAGGTCAATGAGTTTGGTGATGGGGATCTCTCTGATGGGCTTCTTCATGCGGCACAGAGTCTCCAGTGAGGTGCCAAAGCAGCTGGGCAGGTAGTTCCCAGAAATGGTAATGAAGTAGTCCTTGCCTCGGTCCAGGTGGAGCACCAGAATGTCCTCTATAGAGTCCTCTCCAGAGTTCAGTAGTGTAACAGAGTCTTTACTGACATACACCTCCAAATAAATCTCTAGCGTCTCATCTGTGCAGGAAGAAGGCAGAGGGTCAGTGGGAAGCTGAAAACATTATCAGAGCTGTTGCCGCTGTGTTGCTGATTCATTGTAAAATAAAGGATTATCGTCTTGCAAGGTATTGTACATATTTTTCATCCTCAAACTGGACATGAAACAGTGGAAAGTGGTTCTAAAGAGATGTGATGAAATTTATCACCCATCTTTTACTTTACCAATTAAACCACTACATGATCATAGTTCTAAACTTCAGGGAAACCCGAACAATCATAAAACGAGATTTACTAAAGCAAAAGGACTTACTTGGCTCTAAAAAGCCATCACTTGGCTCGGCACGCAGCCAAGGCTTGCAGTACTGCGTGTCATTGAGTTTAGGGATGAAGGCGAAGTGACAGTGGACCTGCCCATCATTTTTTATTTGGAAGCGCTCCTTCTGAAGCTGCCGGAACACCACATTCTCAAATGTAAACTGAAGGACAAGAAAAAAAAAGACTCTCAGTAAAAGGGAACTTAGAACAAGCTACTGTGTTTGAGACGTTTTAAATGTTATTACCGATTAGTGACATTTATATTAGGAGTAAGAAACATGAAACAGGAATATGACAAGCACGTGTGTGAACACTTTAACCTTACCTCTCTCCTGCTCAGAGATACAGATGGAAGGAAATCATTCTCAATTCTGTCCATTGCCCGAACAATCTCCTCAAACACCTTTTTGTAGCGCTGCTCATTTACCACTTTCACCTGTTACACAAACACACAGGTAATATTTATCAAATTTTAGCAATAAAGAAAATATTCAACATATGTAAGTCGTACATATCATCACAGTGATAGTAGAATCTCAAAGGCTTTAACCAAAGTTTCAGTTTAAGTGTTTGTTTTTTTTTGTCAATATAGGCTCGTACCCCTACACTGAAGACAGAGCTGACAGGCTTGTGATCACTAGTTTGCATCTCCATGTGACTCCGGTATTTGAGCTGCCTGACACTGTCGCCCCTCCACAGGATTCTATCACACCAAGCCGGGACACGGCACTTCCCACTGCAGGAAACAGTTGTTAGTTCAGAGCCAAAGTCTATTCCCTACTAGCAAGACTTAATCGGGATTCCAAAGAACAAAATGTGAAACTGGGGGTAAGAGAGCAAAAGCAATACAAATATTGGTGAAAGTCTGTGTATTTAAAAAGATAAAACAAAGGAATACATTTTTACCTCGAGTCCCATCGATCTGTTCTGGGGTCATACTTGTACGTGGGAATGAAGGTAATGTCCCCCTCGAGGAAGTCAGTGAAGGCTCTCTTGGTCTGCCTTTGAATGTTCAGCTACATATAAAAAAGTGGCAGAATTGTCAAGTATTACTGGGCAAGAGAGTAAAAACAAAAACAAATAAATAAATAAAAATCCTAAATTACTGTCACAATAAACAGGGTTAAAGAGGAAATCAATCATAATTATAATGAGCAGCAACATTAGCATTAGAACAGCCAAGTGCAAAATTCTCATGTTAAAATGACTCAATACACAGTTAATTTATGTTAAAGTAATGCTTTTAAAAATTCTAAATAGGAAAGATGTAGATAATTGTAGAAACAAAAGCAGTGAAAGGGACATTTTTGAGAACCTGATAATGATCACAAAAGGTATTATTTCTAAAACCTTTTGTGTTCTTGCTCTAAGTTTGCCTAACTGTGATGGTATTGTACGTTTTCTTTCAGCTGTTGGATATCAGTGCACAACAAATAAATACAGAGAAAATGTCACTGGGCTGGATAACCTACTTACCTGATCAGCCTCCTGAAGCTTCTTTAGTTCATTCTTAGCAATGAGCCGTTTGACTTCAAGAGCATCATTAATGAAGAGACGATAGTTTAAATCCCCGAGCCAGATTACTACACTGAAACACAAAAAGAGACAGATGGGTTAAAACTACAGAATTACAGGAACAACTTTGTAGTGAATATCACTATCCTCACAAATACTAAAATTCAGTAAGTGAGAATTTCAGCCTGTAGCTCATTTAATACTAAAGGTAATGCAGATAAAAGACTGGAAATGTGAAAATTAATGTAATAACAGCAAAAGAGAAAGAAACATCAGATTTCAGTAACAGCTGCTGATGAACAAAACCTCAGAGCTGATGATACAAACATAACCAGTGGGTGTAAAAATCAGACTTTGCACATTAATCTAGAACTATGCTCTCACTTTGGACATGAATGACTCAGGGACTCACTCATGCTTGACGATACCAAGAGGGGGATGGTCCAGTAAGTGGAAGGTCATGCGGGCACATATATCTTTATAGTCCTGGTTGCGTCGCTCAAAGTCTTCCACGTGTGCAGCTAGATGGGAATTGACGATGCAAAAACTAGTGTTGTGGAAAACAAACCTCACTGCCACACCTCCTTTGTTCCCCTGTGAATATAAAGATTGCCATTTAAACAGTCCCTTACTTTAATTACAGACAACTGCATGCAGGAATAAAGTGTAGAAATCATGTGAAACAGTAAATAAATTTAACAGAAGCCAAGTGGTGTACTGTAAACACTGTAAATGAGAAAAAGACATCACCAAAGAAGTAATATTGTCTGTCTTGTTTGTCACTTTGCAGACTCTCCCAAAAACTTAACAGATTTCAGTGGGATTTGGAGGGAAAGTTAGACCATGAGCAAAGAATAAGGGACTTGTATTTGGTACAGCTCTAGATCCAGCTGCAGATGCTGTATTTCTTAACACTAAGCAATATCGGATTTTTTAAAAAACATTTTACTACTTCTTATTCCATGGGTGTCTAGCATTATATGTATTTTTACATGCATAGTCAATCCGTGTTTCATGTGAACAAACCATTTTTCCCATGATTCCCGTCCCCACATGCTCTGCAGCCACTTCCTTTATGTGACACTTGTAGTTCTTTTTGACATAGACAAGAAGCATCATTCCAACTAGACGTATGACGCGAACCTGTCAACATAAGAGAAAATAATTCAGGTTTGCCTATACCATCGTGTGTGTTGTCCTAATACGCTGAAAATCATGCCTTCATCAACATGACAAGGCCCTGAAGGTACTGATTTATCTCTAGGAAGGTTTTACTCCTACTCACCCTCTTATACTTTGCTTTTTGGTGCAAACTCCTCTCCACAGCTTCCACCCACAGCTGTTCCTTCGACGAGTCCATGTACAAAAAAGCTTCAGTGCTCAGGTCCAGTTCTTGAAAACTAGTATCATAAACAGTGTTCGTTGTCATTAAAGCAAAAGAAGAAGACAGCATTGTATAACGTCATGATTAGAAAAATACTAAACAAGTCATTCTTACTGACCCCAGAGCATAAATATCAGGAGGTTCTGTGTCACAGCAGAGCCACGGTTCAAGACTGCTGTCTGGAGACTGGCCATTCACATTCCATGTACCAGTGAAAAACCTAAAGAAAAAGACACATGGTAAAGGGTTAGCTGAGGCAGGAGCACTGACCTCCAGCATTTCTGAATTGCACACTGCTACGCATTTCCATACAAAAACAACAAAATCAAAGCTACACAGAAGAAAGATGCTCCTCTCACCTGAAGGTCTTGATGTCCACATAGTCACCCTCCTTTTTAGTTAGGCGGTGTTTAATAAGGTATTCTCTTTGTCCTGCCTGGCTGGAGAACATGGCTTGTCTCATGGTGTTAGTAGTGGGGCTGTCGCACCAAGACGGTGACCTGTCCATACGGTCAAATCCTGACCTATAACTACTGGAATGAAAAAAGTAGATACTCTTTAACTGTAGTTATAAAATTAAACTGACATGAAACACCAATTTCCAGTAAATCAATATACTGTTATGAGAGCTTAACTTACTCTGGTTTGGTGTTTGTGATGAAGGCGTTGTCTTTGACCTGTACAGCAACAGCTTTAGGGACTGGTACAGGAGGCAGAGGACTGGATGGAGTGTAGGAAGCTCTGCGAGGAGGTAGAGGGGGAACAGGAGGAGGCTCCCTAGAGGCCGATGTGCTATTCTGGTGGTTCTTCTTTTCCTCCACTTTGATAGTTTGGTTGAGGTCATTCCCAAAACCAAAATCTGAGGCAAGTGATTGAACTGGATCTTTAACAAAAACAGAGGATTCAATCTAACAGCAAAAGAAACTCATTTGGGAAAAAATCTGAAATTTATGGTTATGTTTATGATACCAGATATCACTTGTGCATCGTTTTTTTATTAACGGCTGGATTTTTCTAAATGTAGATGGTGTATTCATGTATTACCCGTGTTGGTCTGATTTGTTGAAGTGTTGCTGTTGGGGTTGGGAGGCAGTGCACTGATAGATTTGGATGGGTTGACTCCAGATCCTGTAGAGTTAGCAGTCTTGTTTGCTCTTTGCACAGGGATAGGGACTGGGCCTCTTGGGTTAGCTGGGGGAGGTGGCTCCATCACTCTGTGTTTCGTGAGTTTGGATCCAACTGAGAAAATTAAACAGCATTGTCAGAAACACACCACATTTGAGACAACACAACCTTAGTCAACAGGGAGCCTCTTTTCAGGAATTATCTTAAGATGTCCCAAGAATAAACAATTAAAGGAAAAACAAACAAAGTAACCAAAGCTAATATGAATTATGAAACATTCAACTTAAGCAAACTCACATCCTGTTTAAACTGACATCTCTCATTATAAATATGAATGGAAAAAAGTGAGCCAACACCCAGAAGAGCTCTGTTGTTATTAAAAGGAAGGAGAGAATACTTGCTACCAAGTGGTTTGTTAATAACAAGGCTGAAGAGGTCAGTTCCACTATAGTATGACTGAATCAGGTGACAGAAGACCCTCATCAAGTCAAGTCAAGAATCTTTGTCATTATGCATAGCACAACGAAATTTCTTCCAGCAGCTCTCAGCTTAAAAGACACCTTATTTACATAACATAAAAATTGTACAAGTCAATATAAAAATATGAACAGAATGTAAATTCTGTGTTTTGTGTTGTCACCGTGTCTCGTGAAGTTTCCGTTGTTCAATGTTAGTTCCCTTATTAAAGAGACATTTTTGTTTTACACTTACTCGTCTGGCATTATAATTGAGTTCACCAAAACACTTTTCGGCCGCATCCCGCGCCGAATTCTGACACATTCTAAAGTACAGCTCAGTGCAAATGTCACGGCTGCCTTTCAACACAATCATCTCCCCGATGCCAGGGGTTCACAACAGCATGCATGGCAAACCTGTATAAATTGGGTTTGGCACATGTACAGCCTGAGACATTATATTTTGCAACTCCAATTAAGATATCCCCTGTAGTTGTGATAAACCACAGGTGGTTGCGCTGCTGTGTAGTTATCTTAGATCTGTTATTTCTGGCAACACACAGTGAACTGCAGATCAGTATGATCATAAGCAAGTTCATTAAAATAATATGAAAACACACCACTTTTCTGAATGATACAATATACAGTATGTTCCTTATATGGGGGATTTTGAAAGTGGGCACCTTTTACACCACAGAGGAGTCATCGTATATTCCAACCTGCTACAACAGCAAATTATTCTGTGCAAGTACCTTTAAGGTCAGCACAGCATCTTCAACACAGTAAGTTTATAAATATGGATAAAAAAAGAACAGGTAGTAGATACAAATAATTCTCTATAGTTGCCCAATATATCATATTTATTTTTCTCTGTATTTTTGTGGTTGCTCATTGGATAGGTGATGCACTCACTGCCATTGATATCTAGTCATTTTGGTGATTGAAAAAGTTGTGAAACTTTGCCCAGTCACTTCAAAAGTATCAGCTGAATGGATAAAACATAGAAACAGGTGTGAAAGCATAATGACACGAACATAAGTCCTTTCTTAAAGGTGGGCCTACACCTTTAAAGGAGGATCCAAACACATAAATGGAAGATAAAGAAGCCTTTCAGCCGGTGTGTGGCTGAGAGGAACATACAGGAAATCAGCAAGACACGTAATCCACCCTTGGTAAATAAATGTTAGCTGAGTGATTAAATAATTCATCTGCTTTAGTCTCCTGACACACAGTGAAGCCTTACCTTGCTGCTGAGCACTCTTCACTTGGGTGATGAAGGTCTGAGTCCGATCATCATCCTGCAGTTCAAACAGCAGCTCTGGAGCTTTTTCCCCTTTGATTCGTATCCTAATGCAGGCTTGAAGGGTACAGAAAACACACTTGATGGACACCTCAGGACTTGGGAAACACATTAGAAATGTAGACTGTGTAGGATACAAAGAAAAGTGATTTAACAGTGAACCAATTCAGCATTCTTTCAGAGAGCCCTGGCAACTCATGACCCGTGGTTGCTACTAAATAGACATTTAGCTGAGACATGCTTTAAAAATGTAGTATGGCTGGATGGGGGCTGTGCTGTGGTATGCGCTATGCTTTAGCTCTCTCTTGTTGCCAGTGTGTAGGCCAATTTAATTTTTTTCTGGCTTGCTTGAAGGACCAGGTCAAAGCCCCTGAAACTGAAGCTGAAGCTGAAAAGGGAATTACTTAACCCAAGGAGAAGTAAAAAAGTACTTACAATCTACTGAGAAATCAATAAGAAGAGCCTCTTCAGCTTCTGAAATGAATGAGGACAGAGCTTAAAGGTGCAAATGCAGTTCAAAGGTCTGCTGTGTGTAAAACAATAAACCAATCATGCTATAAAATATTTCAACAAGACCTAGTTTTCATATATCGATTTACGTTCTGACTTCCAGGTTCAAAGGAATTGTTCCCTGGACTTTCACTCTTACGCCACTGTACCCTGCATAAACAGTTACACTGGTATGTAAAGGAGTTCAACAATGTGAGGCCCAATGGCCACAGGCTGTGTCTACTGGACAGGGATCACAAACACCCTATTGAAGAGATGAAGAACTATTTGTAGCTGTTGGTGACTTAAAATATCCTCAACATTTCATTACGGTAAACAGTTAATCCTGCAAATTTGATAGTGAAAACAAAGGCAACGCACCTCGTACAATTTCAAAATTACCATTAATGGGTATAGACAGCTGGGCCACTGGACGAGACACAACAGCTTCAGGAGTGGCTAAAACCCCCAGTCTGTATGAGAACAGCACAGACTCTCAGTTAACATCAACTCTGTGATATTTTAAAATCATTTTATCAGTAAAATCATCTACAACACAAAGCATATGTAGACAAGATACAGCAATTTCTCATTACATTCTCTAGCAATTAAAGTTATGCTTCATGCAAAGCATTCAGTATGAACACATTTAACATGCAATATGGGTATATAGTATGTACTATTAGAATTATTAGAATTATCAAGCGATTAAAATGTTAAAGATGTACAAAAATCTGAAATGCACATGCAAAATTATATTTAGTCTAATTTGCAGTCCAGTTGCTTTAGTTGAAAAAAGCAAACACTGCACAAAATTAACTGACAAGCCGTCGGCCTCAGTCAGGTTCTTTAGCAACCTGGAGCACATTCAGAGGAGTTACAAGCAGCTTCAAATCTGTGACTTGGGTTAATGTAGACAGGGTCATATTTCACTCTCTAACACTGGTTGACTAACAGTCAAGGTTAAAGCAGTAGGGTGGGCACTGACCACACCTTCAGTCCACCTCACAGTTAGTCAGAATGCTGAAAATGATTCAGCTCTGCATGCCTAAATGTGTCAAACAAACTTTGAGTTCCCCAAAAACAACAGTGGCCCCTGATGTCGTAAGCTGCACGATAAGCAATAACGGAGAACAACCCCTCCTCAAGGGAGCAGAGAAAGTAGCTGAAGCACCACACACTACAGCAGACCTGAAATAAATGTTATGAAACTCATGATATCTAGTTTTAACTGAGATTCTCAAACACATTTGTTTTAGCTTGATCTTTATTTTTGAGGCTACAGTTTATAGACAATTGTCTGTCCTCTATGAACTTCTGTTAAGCTGCTGTAAAAAACTACAAAAAAAACTTTAAAATTGATGTTTTTACACTGTTAATGGGCCTAACAGCTGCAAATTAAAACTGCTATATCTTTGGCAAAGTCTATAAATGTATCAACTGTGATGACAAAGAACAGTCTCCAAAATCATAACAAAAAAAAAGCTAAACAGAAAAAACTGCACAGCCAAAGATGACTACAACTTCACCAACGCTGACTAGAAGCCACTGAATCAGAACTTTAATGATCAACACATATACATGCTTAAAAATTAGCACCGAGTTAAAAAACACATTGGACAGTTTCAGCAAAGAACATTGTGAGACTCACACTGGAAATTACTACAAGGCTGTTGTACTGTAATATGCTTCATATTGTGATAAAAATGTCAACTTTTGCTGATTTAAAAAATGTCAGCAGGTGTCGCTTTATAATATTTCTACAGCACCGACTAAACCCCAATATGATGTCTGACTCTTCACCACTGTGTCCAGTTGAGGACTGCTCCTGAGCTTAACGTGTGTGTGATTTGAACACAGTTATACGACAACATGGCTTGTGTGCCCATGTGAGTCTCATTACAGTCCAAGACTAAGTGGAGGAATTCTGGATAATGGGTAGTGAGCTGGCTGGTGGTGGGACTATTTGCTTTCTCCTTCACATTAGCACACACCACAGCCTGCTATAAATCCAAACAGCACCAATGATTTAACACGCTCACTGCCATCACCCACAGTATCCTTTTTAATAAAACTGCTGGTGCTGCGCCATCCAGGGGGAACACATGAGGTTCTGTGCAAGTGACTAGCAGATCTGACTGAGCAGCAATGTGGTACGTTTGTGTACAGAGCTGCTCACACCCACTGGATAACCTGGGTTAAAATCCTGTTGCTGTAACACTGAACCAAAATACTACACCTTAACCAGCAGTACTGTCCTGATGCCAATGTGGTACACACCTTTTACAATACAGTGGACAGCCACACAATTCTGGAACGCCTCAGCAAGTGTGTACCCTCAACCTGAATTTCATCACACCAAAGCAAAAGCTAAAAGGAAGCCAATGCTGCACCTGAACAAGACCTGTTTTAAAAACACAAGCTCAATCTGTCACACCTTACTAAATTTACCTACTTTATCTTCAAATGCATACATTTCCAGTCACCGGTTTCTCTGATACTTACATAAATTCCCCACTGCGCTTAATTAGAGACAGCAGCCTGGGCTCCTTCTGGCCAGACCTCAGCTCCTGACCTCTCACGGTGTGAGCAGAAGAATCAAGGAACTATTGAGATTGTGGATGGATGTGAAATGCTTGGACATCTCAAGCGCTGAGTTTTAATCCAACTGTGTTAGTATTCGAGTGGGTAGACTGTCTGAAGGGATGATCTGTGTTAGAAGAAGCCATGCTAATTGAGAATTAGGCGGCAATTAATTTGACAAGTGGCAAGTAGCTCAGTGGTGAAGTTGGTTAGTAGCAGACAATGTAGTTAGCGTTATCGAATTTTACACTATACAGTGGCTAACGTTATTCTGATAAAGAAATCGGTTTATTTAAACGAGACGGGTCAATTTGGCATGGTTATTAGTAAACAAAATTAGAAAGCAGCTGTATCTATTAAAACGCTAGGTTACACTCGTGTCTAAAATGCGTTTAGCCAAGTCCATGTTTTTGTATCGTGTTAGCTGAATTGCTAACGTTAGCCAACAAGCTAAAGTAGGCTAAGAAATACACACACAAAAAAGCTGTAACCTGACTGTCATTCAAAAAGGATATTCCCAAGCACTCCTCCTCGCATATCCCCAATGAAGTATCCATTCTTTACAGATACAAAATAAATAGCAGTGCGACTTTAGCTTTTGAGTTGGTTCAGTCCGAACGTTTAAAACAGAGAAAGTTAGTTAAATCCCCACCCGGTGATGCAGATGCTGCGGCGGCCTCTCCGGTTGTGGCAGCTGATCAGTGCTGGTTGCTAAGCCCTAAACGCTTGTTAGCAAACTGTTGTTGTTAGCTCTGGGTGGAGACACAGATGTTTACCAAAGCTACGAGGTCAAAGTATAGAGGTTAGTGTCCGCCATCCTGTGAGAATGCCTGACGTATCCGGCTTCACAAAGACCCCGCTCGGTGTCAGGGAACAAGCTGGTCATATTACATAGCTTGCATATTGAGATAAAGGAAATAGAAACATCAGGCTATGGCACCTGACTACTACTTCTTCTTCTTCTTCTTCGTCTTCTTGTTAATGGCAGTTTGCAAGCCACCTTAAGGTGTACCTACTTACTGCCACCCACTGAACTGGAGTGTGGAAACGGACTACTTCTTCGGTCCCAGTTCTATTTTAGCCTTATCTTCGGGAAGTTTAACGGCGGTTGGAAACCGTTGTGAGGAGACAAAACGCCACCTTGTGCCTCGGAGCCTCAGCTCTGTCTGACAAATACAGCTGGGTTATAAAACAAAGAGATTCCTTGATAAGCGACCGGGAATTATAACCACGTGAGGGTCACTGATTAATCAAAATAGTTGTCAGTTCATTTTCTATCAACGAAGTGACTAATGGTTGCAGCTCTAGGTTAATGACTGGCTTAATATTATGAAAAAGTGTGCTGAACACAATGATGGAATATGCTTCTGAAGAATGAGGTTTCTTCCCTCCAGCACAGGAGTACTGAAGTTCCTACTGACCCCCACTACATGGATGGATTACTGAATGGGCCTACCAGGCAAAGGGCCCAAGGGCCCTGAGGGGCCTGAGGGCCCCTAGAACAGAGAACCATGAAGGCGCTGTAGTCTGTTGGAAATGCAAACAAATGACTACAGAATGCCACAAAATGAAAAAGATACAAAACCAGTTAATCATCCAGCCCATTTTAATATTTAAACTTGATCTTACACCTAAATGGCAGCTACACTTATGGTGGACATCTTTCCAGTCCCATTTGCACTTCCCATGATGCATTGTGCTTAAGTTCTTGAGTTAATGAAACAAAAATAAAGGCATCATTGTAAACACACAGTTCTCACTACACATACAGTACTATGTTTTAGAATTATGCACTTTGTACTGGTCTCATTTTTAACATTTTCACACAACATCCTAGAACCAAAACAAATGTAGATAGAAATTTTGCTAAATTAATTTATGCAGATTTTTGACTATATTATTGTCATGACCAGGAAGAAGCACAGTTAAATTATTTTGTAAAAGATAATGTCTTTGTGTATCTGCCGTCTTTAATAATAGTTATATAACAAAAGGTGCTTTAGAAGTAGTTTCACTAATACATGTGACTTCTTTCAGTTGTTGCAGGTTTTAATTTTATGAATGGCATAAGGGCTGAAGTCTTGAGGCCAAATATCTCCATTGGGAAGCTCCCTCCTTTGTTCCACCTGACGATCAACCATCTCTATTGACAGACTGGAAGGACCAAAGACGTCTATCGTACGATAGGATTGTGTCAGGCGACAGAAGGATGAAGTGTCTGAGATGTCATTGTCAAAGAGGTCTTCCATGAACTCCTTGTGCTGTCTGCGAGATGCTTTCAGGTCAGAAACCAGATCCTTAACATCTCTTATAAGTGTGGAGCGTAGACCAAACAGGCAGAGCAGGAAAACCAGACCTGCACAGATGCCAGAGACAAAGTACAGAGCCACTTTCTCCGGCAGGCCTGGAAGAGAGACAAGAGAAGACCACTGACCTTTTTCCAAATTATTCCAGGTAGCATAACATTTAGTTGTCTCTGTATAGCCCAGTAATGCACTTGAAAACACAAGTCTTAGTGGTTTGTGTGTTCATGTCCTGAACTGGTAGGAAGCTTCTGAGATCCACAGTGACTGTTGGCTGTCCTATTAATGCAAAAGATACAGAGGTGCACATTCATTCTGTCTATAAATGTCCATCCATCCATCCACTATCTCCACCCCCACAGGGTAGAGTGAACTCTAAAGTTATGTTTGAAAGAAAACTAAATTTGAACTTTAATATTTTGTTCACCCTCCAGATAAAAATAGGCGGTGTAACTATCTTTCAAAGCTTTCTGAAAACAGCTAGCTGCACTAGGAGGGTCTCCTTTCCCACAAATATTACATAGGATTATGCAGGTTTTGTTTTCTTGAATTAGGTGTCAAAGATATTTAAGTTGCTTGACTAATTTTAATGCAGGCTCACACATTCTAAGACAGTGCTTAATGTAATGGAAAATAAAATATAATACAAGTACAGTAAATATAGGATTAGATTTGCTGTTGGCATAGTTACTCAATATTAGAGGCATCCATACTTCTGTTTGAGTTTGCTGACTATTTGTAATCCATTTTTCATAACAACAGACATTCAGTTGCATAATATGATAGTGTAAATTTGATCAAATTAAAGGAATAAATGCTCACTATGAAGGTTTACATGTCTTACTCAGCTTTCAGTGTGTGCAATTTGATTTTAATGCTCTGATAAACAAAAAGAGAACCAATAGAAAGAAAAATTCATCACTCATCAATGTAAAAAGCTATGGCAAGCTAAGGAAAATAGTCAGCAGTAATGTGAAGTATTTATGTGCCAAACAACCATATTTGCCTTTAAGACGTGATCTACAACAATAAGAACTCTACATGCAACCCTAGCCTGAAGTTTATGGGCATCAGTGCACATACCCAATATTTTTTCAATGATCTCCAGTGAGTTGGTTAAAAGCATGTTTTGCGCCCTGTAGGTGGGGCCAGTGTACCATCCACCTGCAGGTGAGAGGGGTCCGGGCTCAGACACCAGTCGAAGTTTGCTGCATGCTGTAAAATCTGTGGATATTCAGTCTTGACTCTCACCATGTGTGTAGTCTGAGATCATGAAAGGATCTGTTGAGCCTCGACCCACATCTTCCAGAAGATACCGGGGCACTAAAGAGAAAATGAGAGATTTTTACATAATGCAGCAACCCATATCACCCCACTCATAAGCAGTGACAACCTCCATTTACCACAAGTGAAGGACACTCGCAGGTGTTTCCTGGTTCCAGGGAAGCAGGGGTCCCCAAAAGTTTGAGTGTCGGCCAGTAATGAACAGTTCGCTCTGCCGTGACACCTGCGTGACACTTTCCTCAGAGCTAAGGGTGACAAACACTCTGAAAAAAATTTGAGAAGTAAAATTAATAACTGTAATAAGTTCATTACAACAAATCAGTATAATATTGTAATTTTGTGACCGGATTTCACATCTAGACTCTGATTAGCAACATAATAACTGAGACTGAACAGAGTTTTACTAAAATAGTCACAAAGGAATTGTTTTATTAATGTATACTAATAGGTGAATAGGGCACAAAAATGATTCTCCACCATGTCTACATAATCAATATTTGTTCCACTACTGTGCCACTAGATGACACTTAAACACTTAGTTTCACACCCATGTCAGTCTGTGATGCTGGTTGCTGAGGACAGTAAGGACTGCCATGCAGCAGGTGTCCAAATGTGGCCGAGTAGATGACGAGGACAGTCTCATTTTTACACATCAGCCTCAGACGCTCATTTTCACACACCAGCCTTGTGCGGTGGTGCTCTGAAAAGCAGATGACATGTGGATATACATAAGGACATGACACCTACAGTAGCAAAGTAACTTTCTGAAACATTTTAACTTATTTGTTTTTACTTAATTTTAGTTCATTACTGCTCATTACTGTACATATTTTATGTTATTGCTGTTTCCTCCCAGGCAGCATGGTTTCCATCTGTTTCTGTATATCAGCTGGCTGAGACACTGTAGGTAATCCAGCACAGCAGACATCATGTCGGCTTGTATTAGTGTTGAAAAGTAATGGAAGAAGTACTCAGCTCATTTCCTTAATTACCACAGTTTCACAATATTCAATTGCAAGTACAAGCAAAAGTATAGAAGTATTATGAGCAAAATGTATTTAATTAGTTTATGTATAAGTTCTCAAAAAGTCTTCTGTGACTGATATCTGATTATACTGGGCATTTTTTAATTGTTAATTGATATTAATTAATCTGTACACAGCATTTTACTGTTGGAGCTACTTTATATAGAATTTGGTAGTTAAGTCTTGTGTTTCCCGGCCTAGGAGAGGGCCCCTCTAAAGGGTCACAAGTTAAATCTGAGGAATCATGAGATGATTGTGAATGATATAGAATTTGGTAGTTAAGTCTTGTGTTTCCCGGCCTAGGAGAGGGCCCCTCTAAAGGGTCACAAGTTAAATCTGAGGAATCATGAGATGATAAGTGGGAGAGGAAAGACGAAAAAAAAAAACAAGTTCTGAGAGATAAATTTGTTTAAAGGTTTTGGATTTGGTTTTGTAATGAAAGTTTGGATAATTAGAATTATTTCAGTGAAATCATTTAGAATCAGAATCTGCTTTATTGGTAATATTATACTGGAGCTCAATAGCTTACCAGGTCGGCACTTGTAGGAGACTAGGAGGTACTTGCTGGTGAGCGGACAGGGGTCCTGTCCAAACACTGGACTGAAAACAGGAATGTGACAGGAACATCGGTCCTGACACTCTGACACCACTTTCTGCAAGGGCAGCAAAACATGGGTTGACAACTGTCATCGTGAGTCACTCAGTGAAAAGGCCAAGGACAGTGAGAGTGCTTTACTAAAACAGACCGAGTTCACATTCATCTCATGGTGGCTTTAAATACCTCAATAACAACTGGAGAAGTACATTCTGTATCTTCCTCCACAGTCGTGTTTGTGTTTGCAGAGGGACATAGATGCTGATTAGGAACACGTCGTCCATAGAAAGCTGATAGGACGGCCACAGACGTCCTGGAGGGACACTCAATGGTGAGCGTGTCTCCTTCACAAGCATGAGCCGTGTGGTTCTTCAGAATGGAGTAAAGATACACTAAAAGACACCAAATATGATGCTAAAGTCACTTTATGTATCTGCTGACTGTGGGAGATCCTTTTGAACTAGCATATACATGTGGGAAAAAAATCAGTAAAGCAACTCAGCACACATTAAAAAGTGAATGGTATGAAGCTAATTAAAACTAAATCATTTATTTAGCCTCAAACACAGTGGTTTGATGTATCACTTTTACCTAATTTAAAAATATAAATAAGTATGTTTGACTTGTGTCAGTAGTACAGCAAGAGCTTCAGATTTGATCTAAGACAAATATTTTCCCTTGTTGACAAGGTTGACTCAGTTATTATTAATAACACATCATTTAGAAGCTGTTCATTGTCGATAACTGGCAAGTCAATAGTGTGTCTTAGTGTATGCTTTTTACTCCTTGAATTATAGTCCTGGTTGTTGCCTGGGAGGTGCCTCAGTCACAGAGTGTGGCTCTCCAAGACAATACTTGGACTAAGACTACACACACGAATATACACGACAATGAAACGTAGACAGTGAAGTCTCCCCTCCCATATGTTCTTCCTGTTGTTGCTCTGCATGTGTGTGTGTGGGCATGCACGTGAACCAAAGAGGATGTTAGAAGCTTCAAGGGACAAATGAGAGGCAGTACCAGGCACTCATTCACAATGAACTATTATTAGGCCCCTTAGAGCCTGCAGCCACACAGAAAATGTAGATTTGTGCCAGGGTCAGATAAAGAGATGCACTCCAGCACTGAGGTGTCTGAGAGAAAAGACACCTTTGGCTTCATCTGAATATATTACTGTTACCATAGCATCATCAGTCATACAGCTCAAACACCAAAACAGCTCAACTTATAAATACAGATCAAGGGTAGTTTATTTATTGCACTGGGGGTATCTAGTCCTAGTCTGTGAAGATCAGGACCTGTTCAACAGCCTCTTCACCCTGATTCTGGCCTGTCAGCATGAGCTGCAACAGCTGTTTGCAAAGCAGGATGTGGAGATATATTAGTGAATGCTGAATATCTGCCTGTACAAAACCTTCCCTGCTGAAAAGTAACCAGTCAGTTTCTTTCATTAACATAAGCAGTTACTGATGTCAAAAACAAAGCACTCACGAGAGAAATCAGGAGCTGAAAGTGTGGTGTGTGTCTTCAGAGCCAAAAGGAGCAGCAGAATACAGAAAGACCAGCAGAAGCTCCACGGCGCTGTCATTGTGCGTATCCTGGGGTTTTGTTGTAATGAGTTGTTGTGCTATTGACTGCCTGGAAGAGCATGGTCAATTAGTCAATGGTGCCATTGTTTGTATATGAAACGGCCACCCCCATTTAGTAATGAAAGAAAAAAAAAATCACAGTTGACCACTTCGGTCAGAACAGTCAACAGAGGTTCCAGTGCCGCTTTGGCTCCAGAACGTTAGATCTTGTTTGTTTAATTCTTACAAAAAACAAAGTGACTCTGACACCAAAACAGCAATCTGCTGTTTTAGGGGGGTTTATGTCTGGGACTATTTGTTGGCTGGGAGCAGTGATTGCCTGTCTCCAAAGTTCAAAAACATGCCACCAACAACTTAAGTATAAAGTTCACAAATTCACACATTATATCATGATTTTTTTTTAAATCTGCATACAAACAGAAATGCAAAAATGACAACTAGCATAGGGATTGATTAACAACAGTTTAACCCTCCATCCAGCACTGCGCAGCATCTCCAGCTATAGTGCTGGTTCCCAGATAATATAGTCAGCACACACAGGTTTTAGTGTAGATCTCTGTACAAGCACTAAGGTAGCATACTTGGTAGCTTCACTGTGGCTCCAGGAAGTCACTGGCTAAGAATTAGTTAGAACATGTAACCCCTCCATATTCTTAAGGTTAGTCAGGTTAGTTCTTTTGAACCCCTTCCAATCTTTATGCTAAGCTAGGCTAATCACCTAGCAACTTCATCCTCATACTTAACACATACAGACGTGAGAGTGGTATCAGTCTTCACATCTCTTCCCAACCAAACTTGTAATGATTTATGTCTTTAATGTCAGAAAAATAGTCACCGACTGCAGTGCTGCTTTTGTGGTGACTCGACATCCTTATAGTGAAAATAAAAATCAAGTCCCCAAATGCTAATTATTACATTTTAGGGTGATGACTTGGTTTAAGGTTAAGGTTAGGGTACATCTCCAGAAAATGAATATAAGTCAATTTAATGTCCCTGGAAATAACAGAAATACAATGTGTGTGTGTCCAGTGCCAAAATCAAGACTCATGCCGTTGAACTGGGTTGTCAACAGTGAGGGTCCTGTTTGTGGAGATAAGGCACTTTTTTTTCCCAGGAGGTCACTTCCAGTTGTTCTGTGTGGCCAGTGGACATATGTGTATATCTCTTGATGAGATAGGACTTTCCTATCTTTTTGCCCATAGAAGCGGAAGTAAGTGTAAGCTCATTGTTGAGCTATGCTTTTCCAAAGCTGACCCTTTTTTCCAGGAATACTCAGGAAATCTCTCTTGTTGAATGTCCTCTCTGCATAGCCTGAATCATTTGGTTTCAGTTTATTATGTTTTTAACTTTAGTTTCCGAATTACACGTCCTCTCTTTCGTAACCCTGTGTGACTGCTGTTGTCATACCAACCAAACACTGACACATAGCCTAGTATGTGCAAAGTCAGGACATCATGAAAATGAATTTCTAAATAGCAGTGCAGTCATTTATCACACAAGCTGAAACACTCCCTCATTCACAGAGGAGTGGACATGATAATGGAGGTTGGTAGTTCAAAAGCCAAAGCCCATATTTGAATCATGCTTGAGGAAGCACGGCACTCCCACATTATACTCCAGTAAAATTCCATTCACCTCCCAAAGGAAGTATCAGTAAAGTAGTCAATTATTTATTAAAACTGTCTTGAAGGACGGGTGGTACCACCATGTGGAAAGAGAGATTTGGCTTCAGATAGAAAATCTCAGGCCAAAAGCTCCCTGACCTTTTAGACATTTAAAAGAAAAGAGGAATACCTTTTCTACAACCTTCTCTTCCTCTGTTGTTTGTAATGGGTTTGTTTTTCATCCTCCCTCTCAGTGATTTGAATTCCTCATGCCCTCTTAGGCAGATACATGAGACACAGAGCCTTGTAACTTCTCTGGCATTTTCCTTCTAAATTCCTTGTAATGTGTTGTGTAATCCTGCCTGTTTTTTTTTGTCATATTTTTTAGGGAAGTCTCTACCACAGTGTGGGGATTTTGACATAAAATTTCCCTTCCCCTATTTATTGTAAATGATACATTTTTCAAGAAACACCAATACTGAACAGAGTCCTCGGTACCAAAAGTAAGCTCATATTCACACATACATTTTCCTAAACAACTTTACTGATCATTAGTACTTAACACTTCTAATATACATATATATAATACTCTCTCCACTCAACAGTCAAAACACCTCCTACCCTATTTATGCCCAAAACACTGAGGAATCTCCTCCACCATGACATTGTGCATTTCTCAAAATGCCCCATCTTTGTTTCTGAATTCTGCAGGTACAGTAGAGCGGGAAACAGGTACAAAAACATGTAAATGACCAAAAACATAGTAGTATTAAACATAGTCAACTGATTGTAAGATCCTTATTTTGCATAATAAATAACATATAAATAATAAAGTCCAGTTTCACATATAAAGATTTCTTCATACACTGTAGGCTGCATAGTAAAACTGACTGAATCATTAAAAAATATTAAACAAAAATATATGTATCCTTTAAAATGTATACTATTATACTGTATACAGTTCAGTTCAGTATGACTTTCAGTGTTGTATGTTCAGGTGTTTCTTATGTTCCTGTAGCCAAAGTAAACATATTATATTTTATTAAATCACATGAATGTGAAACTAAAGGCTACAACTGTGCCACTGATTCAGTCTCCACTGTTTCCCAGTGCTATTCAAAGCACAGCGGGTGCTTTGTATTACCTTAAGCCTTCCTGTGAACCATGTTCCTTTATTATTCCTTCTATATTTAACATATTGTTGGGATGTCAGTGACCCAACTATCTGAAATTGTATGTGTGGTGAGTTACATGAAGTTATCAGGTCCTGTGTATTGCATTATGTAGAAGGACCTACTATTTTAAGCTCTCCCCTCATAGGCTTTTGCTTCGTGTATATAAGAAAGTGTACCCCGCCCATTTTGCTGGAACCTCCTTCTCCCCCTGGCTAGTACACTGTGCTCAGAGTGAAAGCCTCCAAGGAGCACTCAGACAAAACACCAGCAGCTGTGAGGTGCAACTCCTTCTTCTGACACCCACAGCCACAAAGACATTTGAAACCAGAGCAGCACATGTTCAAGGGCACTGTTATCAGTTTCCTCTCTAGTTTTGCGAATATTTTGCGGTGACTCCCACCCCCCCAAAAAAGACCAATTGACCTGAGGAGAAGTTTTCATTGGAACAAGTACTTAGAATTTTAAAAAGTATATAAAACTTTTTTGGGGGACAACATGGCACTTCTGCAGATTTCTGAAAAGGAGCCAAGCATCGAGTTGTTCATCAAGGTCAGTCATTTCTTTGTAATTTCACTAGTTACCTGCAAGAGAATGTTTACTTTAATGTGTGAATTCAGTGGCTAAAGAAAGGGCTGTTTATTATTAGATTCAGAATTAAATTGTCCCTGTATTATATACCATTATCTAAGGTAAATATGTGGGCACTCAGAGACACACATGGATGTCCTGCTCACTTATCAGTATTGAAAATGACAGAGATGTTGAACAGTAGCATCAATCAGAGGACAACTCTCATTTTGATGGGTGCCGTCTCCAGATGTGCTACAGATGATGAAGTGTTTGTATCCCTGTTGGGGGTTACAGCATGTTTTATCAGTAAGCTCTGGCCACAGAAAGAGAGTCCACCTTATCATCGCAGACCCAGAAGGAGCAAGGAGCCTGCAGGGTGACTGTCCCAGCCTGAACCAGCCACACCCACTTTATTTACACACACACACTCACATAGAGTCATCTATATCAAGAAGTCAAATAGTTAGTCACTCTACTTATTTGTCCTCTTACATTATTTCCAAATATTTAACTACTAAATTACAGTGGGCTCCTTTTATTTTTCTAGCTTTGAACACAGATGTGTTTTAATTTCATGTTTCAGTGCAGAGATGCAGTGTTTTATGTGAACAAGGTCGCGTAAAGCTCAAAACCAGTACAACACAAACTAGACATTACATTGTCATAGTAAATGAAACATTCTACATTCAGTCGCTTAAAGGAAGAATCTGACAATTTGTGGTAACTAGTTCGCTTTCTTGCTGAGACAAGATGGCAAGGCTGATACTGCTCCAGTACACATGAAGCCACAGTTGGCTGCCTGTTGGCTAAACTTATCATAAAAACAAGAAACAAGAAACACAATGAAACAGCTGACTCTGTTTAATGGTGACAAAACCCACCTACCAAACCCTCTAAACCGCACATGTTAAATGTGCTTACAAAACCAAACTGTGAACGAGTCAGTTCTGGCTTTACATGGAGTCATGTGCTCAGTATGCTTTCAGTTTTTATCCAGATTAAACCAACAAGATATAATCTCTTATTTGGTGAGTCTTTATGCTAACATAACCAGATGCTGGCTTCATATTCACTGTACAAACATGATAGTAATATTGTTCATCTTGTCTAACTCTCAACAAAAAAGTAAATAATATGCCAAAATGTCAAACTATTCCTTTAATATTCACATATTGGCAGCATTATGGCTCAAAGGTGGAGCTCAGAAAGACACATGTAAGGCTATAACCAGAATGTGTCATGTCTGAGCTGACTGAAGGAGGAAAACAAATGTTAGCATCTGTTGCTGTTGTGACGCATCACCTGATTTTCCATGAAGGAAGCAACCTTTAAATATCCTGGACATGCATTGCACTTCTAACGGCAGGAGAGGAGAGGCGTTGTGATTGCAGGGCATTTGTGGCTGGTTAAAACTTTAACATTACTGTTTGTGTTTTTCAGGCTGGACATGATGGTGAGAATGTAGGGAACTGCCCGTTCTGCCAGAGGCTCTTCATGGTCCTGTGGCTGAAAGGAGTGAAGTTTACAGTGACCACTGTTGACATGAGGAAGTAAGCACCCCTCCTCTGACGAAAACACTTCCTGAGCATCTGGTCTTGGGGACTTTCACAGAGAACTTAAGAAAAAAACAGAGAGAAAATGAGAAGTTATTTTCAGTAATCCAAACCATTTCTCATTGTCATTAAGTGTTTAGCTCAGTCTGTTTAACTGAGGTTAGAGGGAGGAGCCCCTAATCTCAAGGAGTACAACGAGATCTGTGTCACTTTCAAACAAAAACCTTCTTTAATTGAACTTTTATTGTGTGAATTTCTCAGTCATTACTGTTGAGAAAATAAGATCAGGAAACGTGATACTTGCTGATAATTGAGTGATTCACAACACACATACAACAGGCCTCTGAAACAGGCGACCACTCCCAGCACTGTGTTTTTTTTAACTAAACCAACAGCCAGTGTTGAAATCACTAATCCAGAGTGCCACATTTGATTTTGATAGCTTCAATAACCAGTACACTCTTGGTTCTGAAATGCTTGATAACAATCTAATTCTACCACTGATATAATACATGTATAAGCAAGTCCTATTCTCTCCTTCCTTATCACCTTTTCCTGTGATCCCCAGGAAACCAGCTGAGCTCAAGGACCTGGCCCCAGGGACAAACCCTCCTTTTCTCCTCTACAATGGCACCCTCAAAACAGATTTCATCAAAATTGAGGAGTTTCTGGAACAAACACTGGCCCCTCCCAGGTACTGTTGCACTCCATAATGTAAATATTAAAGCTACTCTACCTAATTTCTTTTCAGACACTAGCGAGTCTAGTGAGATTGAAAACAAACAGAGCTAAGCTGCACCTAACCACTCTTTGTCCCGCCCATCACATCCTGTTTCCTTGCAGTGACCTAAACTATGAGTGCCTGTTTGCAACATACTGTACAAATGCAGCCTCCAGTCCAAAGCTAGCGTTAGCTGACTAATGAGCAAATTTGTCAGTCCACTAGAACTCTCTGGTTAGTGCTAACGTAATATAAAGCACTAACATTACACAAAGTTCAAATTGCTCCCAATTCAATACAAAGGTAAAATTGTGACCATGCTAGGGTTGCTAATGTTATCAAAACAAACACATGAGCTTCAAACTTGAGTCGTTTACAGCTGCTTTTAACACTCTCCATCTCAAAAAGCCAAACCGATGTTAACCCTAGTTTTTGCTCTCTGTTTGTCCCATTGTTTCTGCGCAAAAGAACCAACCTCCTCTGTCTGGCAGCCACTGTTTTGACTTTTATCTGCCAAGAGCTCCTCCATGGCTGGATGTTTTAAATTGCTGTTCACATTTCAAAAAGTGCTTCTTATAACCTTCACTAGTTGCTTCCATCTCAAAAATCTGAATAGATGGATGAGTGAGGACCTGACATATCCCTTCTTCAGGTGTAGAATTACTTCAGCAATCCTCTCAGGGGGTAAATTGGATCAGAAGCACAGTGAACTGTGTATTTTGTCAAGCTTACAGTTCTCTGGGAAGATGCTGTAGATACAGCTTATCAGAGGAAGAAACTGAAATACACAGAATTAGCCATGGAGGCAGAGGAGCGTGGCTGAAAAGTTAAAGTCCGCCCCGTGGATATTTGTTGTAGGGGATTTGTTGCCAAGTCAACTGTCTCTCTGCTAGGTGAGTTAGCATATAAAAGGGCAGAGACTAAGACAGCCTGAATTAGTTGGAAACAGTTAGCTTGAATTAGCCTGAGTAGATGAAAGGTCTGTTCTGGGATGTTGGAACACACTGCTGAGCCTTCTCAAGGGTTAAGGGATGCTTTGTGTTAAGTGTAGGTTAGGTCTGGAAAATGATGTTGTTTAATGTGGGACTCTGAAGATACAGTATATGACTACATGGCCTGACACCCCCCCTCTTTGGGGTCAATTAATGGGTAAACATCATTTAACCTATATACTGAGATTACATATGAATGCTCTCACATTCCTTGGCACATTTGATTGTGTATTATTGATTGCTAAGTGAATTAGTGATGGGTTATTTTCATTGCACAAGTTTATTTCCAGGCTTTCCTCTCTCCCCTGCAGGTATCCTCATCTCAGCCCACTAAACAAAGAGTCCTTCGATGTGGGTGCTGACATTTTTGCAAAGTTTTCTGCTTTCATCAAGAACAACCCAAATAATGCCTGTAAGCTAGAGTTCTTGTAATTTATTAATCATGTAATAGCTCATAATATTTTCACTTATGTTTACCTATATGGATATACAGTAAATATAAAGCCTTATAGATAAATAGATAGCTAGATACTACTTTCAAACATCTGAATGCAGGAGTTTTACATGTAACAGAGTACAGAGTGTTATTGATACTTTTACTTAAGTAAAGAATTTGCGTACTTATTCCACCACTATTCAAAATTAAAAGTAGTCTTTATGGTCCCTAATACAATAATAGACTATCTACATATTATATTATTGGGTTTTTATTAGCAATATATTGACAGGCATGCAGCATTTTATGCTTTAGGTGAATTTGGTTAGATAAACCTATTGCAATCCATTGTATTTTACAAGCTTATTGGGTTTAGTATATACAGTAACAAGTTAATCTACAATGTAACAAGTAACTACAGCTGTTACTGTAGTGGAGTGAAAAGCACAATGCTTCACTTTTAAATGTAGTAGAGTATAAGTATAAAGCAGCAGAAAATGGAATCACTCACATAAAGTACAAGTATTTCAAAATGTTGCTTAAATACAGTACTTAAATAAAAATGTAGTTTCTCACCACTGGCAAAGTTCGACAGAACAACACAAGTCTCTGTGTTTCTGCATTTTCAGTCCATGAGAAAAACCTGCTGCGGGAGTTCAAACGCCTAGATGACTATCTGAACTCCCCACTCCCTGAGGAGATTGACCACAACTCGAGCGAAACCATCATCTCCAAGAGGAAGTTCCTGGATGGTGACCTACTCACCTTAGCTGACTGCAACCTGCTACCCAAACTGCATGTTATCAGGGTGAGACAGTGGTTCAGCTGTGTTATCATTTTGGGTGTAATCAATGGTATAGTGTAGGTTTTGTTGTACTAGAGTGAATCATAATATGGCTGGTCTTTCTGTGCAAAATGTCACCTCTCTGGACAGTCAAGCGTGGCTCTTTAAGGATCATTTAATCAAATAGGATATATAATAAATACAAATGCAAACAAGATACAGTGCCTGGTTTATATTATATTATATTGTAATTATAACAGTAGTTCCCAACTTTGTGGGCTTGGTGTTCCCTTAATAAACATTTGTGTCTTTTTTAGGCTCCAAGTTGTTAATAGTTAATAGGAGACATTTCCTCTCTAAACATCTCAGTTTGGTTCATGTAACTATCTGTTCGAAACCCAAAAAGGTTAAATTCTCCAATATTTCACTAAAAATACAAAGAAAAAAGTGCAACAAATGAATACAAATTTGTGTATCACCTTTTTCCCTACTACAGTTTTCAGTAGCATACTTTATTATATGTCAAGGAGAAATATATATTTTTTAATCCAATACATTTATAGAACAAGTTAAGCTACTTCACACATTAGGATTTTAGAAACATAATGAGCATAAAATCTGATGCGTTTCCATATAACAGGTAGGAGAATTTTTACATTGTTGTATTGGTGCTTTTATTAATGTAAATGGTCTAAGTGCTTACTATTTCCACCACTTATCTTCATGCACCTCACAATTTTGCTCTTCCTTTGTGTTTATTTTAGGTTGCTTCCAAGAAGTACTGCGAGTTTGACATTCCCGCCGAGTTCACAGGCGTGTGGCGATACCTTCAAAATGCCTACGAGAGAGAAGAGTTCAAACAGACATGTCCAGCTGACATTGAAATCGAGAAGGCTTACTTTAACGTGGCCAACCAGAGGAAATAAACTTTTCATTCTCTGTAATCCATGTTCTGTTTTTACCACATGTAACCATGCGTATAAAGATCTGTAGAGAGCGTTACAACCTACAAGAAGTATCTGTGACAGTGAGTCACACACTGGTCCAACTGAAGCACCTTGAATTGCTGTTGCAGTACAACTTGTGGGCACGCTAAAACAAAGTGTTTTATTGGTTGTATCTACTGGCTATTCCTTCATTGTCACTAAGCAAAATTATGTTTGTATGCCACATTGAAAAGGCCAAACGTGCAATTGACTGAAAATGTAATTTAGCAGATTTGTTGTTGTTGTTTATAGTGTAAATACACATTTTTTCATTCTTTTATGACCAAATACCCCCATTAAAAATATATTATAGTGTTAGTGTGAGCAGCATCTTCACAAACAGTTCATTTTTATACAAAACATGAAATACACTTTTTGTATCTTGTACAGTATGATGTGGTTATATTGTTTCACACTAATAAAAAACACCTGATTCACTTGTCATGAGCTTGATTTTGTGTGTTTATGTATGCTGACTGGTACTACTATAATGCTCGCTTGCTGGAAACAATGAAGAAATAATCCTGAATTTCATTGTTCTTCTTTATGTCTCATACAGTAAATATTATAAACATTTTTACCTGGAAATATTACAATCAAAAGCAGGTCATATAAGTTGAATTTCTGATATTCAAGTTTATTTTCAGCCACCAAAAAAACAATTTTACAGATTCAAAAATATATTTTCTGATGATCCAGTAGAGACGATGAATATGCTGTTTGGAAACAAAAACGACGATGGAGAGTGAAGATGTTTCCAACCAGGCCGCACTGAAAACACACTAAACGTCCAGCAGCTGTGCTCTAGTTGGTCACACAGTATTTCCAGAAACATGCTGTTGGACATCAGAGAGAAAAAGCAAAGGACAAGTGAAGTCAGATTAATTAGTTATCCACATTTCTTTTCACACATTTTCTACACTCTGATGTAAATTATTTTAAGTATTACACCTAATACTAATTTTAATATTTTCTTACTGCAGTCACCTGCTTCTTCACATCATGATTGTACTATTTTATTTTTTTTCAGCTCTCTAATATGACATCTGTGTGGCTGACTGTCTTGCATGAGGGATCACTTCTCCATTGCTCTTCATGAGGTTACACCCTATCTTCCTGTTACAGAGTTCATTTTGTAAATATGCAGACCTAAGTCTAAGGATCAGTGGTTTTACATTTTGTACAGATTGTACAGCTTTTAACGGAAATTTGAGATATATAATAAAACCGACTTCACCTGACTTTATGCAGTTTTGTCTATGTTTGTATTTTGCTGTACTATTTATAATATTTAGCATTCAAAAGCAGCATACAAACATTTAATAAATGGTTTATAACACACTATACTGCAGTTAGGTGTTTATTAATGAATTTGCCAGTGATTATAATTCCTCCGGGGGACAGTCACAAGTGGAGGCTGACAGATAATGATGGCAGCACAGTAAAACACAGCTGTAATAATGTAAAATATGTCTTCACAGGAGTTAAAGATGTTGATAAGACTATAATAGGACTATAGCTTTAACATGTTAAACTACTTGTCTTTTAAGAAAAGTAAATGCAGCCTTTACTGATCACTTTTACTTCAGTGGAGTTGAGGATTTGTACTTACCACAAATAAAATATCAGTTTAAATGTACTTCTGCCAGTATATCATATGTCCTACATTACATAACACCAGCCTCAGTTACACTTAGCACTAAATCCCAAGCCCTTGTCAGTGACACCTTATAAAGATAAAGATGTGTGTGTGGCATTTGTGTTTTAATAATGAGTCAGTCACCTCTTTTGTTTGTTTTTGGTAAGTTCTGGTCTGATCTGAGAAAACCCTGAGAGCGAAGCTTGTTGGCTGCTGCCAGCTTGAAAACAACTTCTTTGAGGTCCTCGACCTAAAAACAAGAATACGACGTGGAAAGTGTTGGTTCTGATCCCAGCATATATTTGATCTTTGGTGGTCATATGTTCCTGCACTCAGTCTCAATTCCTGCAACAAAACTCTACTACCGACCTCCTCAACTGACTTAAAACCAATGGAGATGCATTATCATAATAATATAATAAGTTTTTTTTATAAAGCACTATCAAATTGATCAAAACAGGTGTTATACTAAAATATATAGTGTTATACTATCATTAGAGATAGAGTACAGACATATATTATCAGCCTTACCATATTTGAAAACTTATCTTCTTCTGCTGAATCTTTATTAGCCCCTAAAGAAAAATTGTAATAAAAGTTGAAGGATCATTATATTTACCATTATATTTCTCTATGTACTGCAAATGTCTGCATGTTGGTTTGTTTTGTTTTTACCTTTATTCCAGGAGTCCCTGCCTCCATTGTGCTGCATCAGTAGAGGATACAGATTATTCGCCTCTCGCTGCTGGCCCTCTGCAATGTTTAGTCCACCCTCCACTTCTGACACAAATTTTTGAATTAGATCTGGTGAGACAAACCATTGCCTCATCATCCTGTGATTATGATATTAATACCCCTATATTGAGTTAAGCAGAATAACTCGTATGCCGTAAAACAGAAGTCCCAGTGTTGCTCATGGCAGGAGGTCAGTTCTAGAAGGTAACATGCTTATTAAAGCTATCCAACACATTCAGTTAAATTAGAAAAAATATCAACAAAAAAAGAAGAAAACTTTTCAGTCTTACCTGACTGTGGCTCCAGATTGGCATCAGGATACAAAGGTAGAGCATCTGTCGATCTTGCAGAACAAATCACAGCCACAAGATAAAACACAGCTATAGAAATCATAGTGGCTCTGTCTTTAGATGGCCAGATCTGGACTCTACCTAAGCCTGACTGAGAACTTCACTTATATATCCCTCAGTGGCCATCCATTACAGTCTGATCAATACATTATCATCACATCCAGTCACCTGCGTAATGGTCTTGACGTGATGGAGCACAAATCTGAGACACAATTTAGGGGAACCTGTCAATTCAGCCGGAGCCTATCTGTGCTTGTACAGAGAGGCCTAACAAATGTTTACACTGCGGCTGTCCATCAGAGTTCTGATGGTTTATGTCTGACACCACTTCTGATGCTCTGTTCAAACGTATCGTCACTCATGTCTGAGATCACAGCTACACAGAGCTGCTGGAAGTCACTGCAGGTTTCTACGTCATTTTGTGTTGAATGACTCACATTTCTGAGGCACTTAATTATGAACGACAAATGGGGCAAATAAGTCACACTGTGAGGAAGATTCATCTGGAGGAAGCTTTGGGCCATGGGGCTTTTTATCAAACTGAAAGGCCACTAACGCTCTTCAGATGAGTGTATGTGGTTTGGGGTGATTTAGATGGTTGTTTCCATGTCTCTGAAATTGGTGTTGAAAGCAGCAACATTTGATCCATCTGACTGCTGAGCAGTCAATGAAAGGAAGCAAAAGCATAGCAGTTTAAGTTCAATGTTACACGGTAACTTTAAAAATTAGCCACAGAAACAAATTACACATGTGGAAAATGGCATTATTGCAAACAGTCACTCAGTATCGCTGTTTAAATTTCGTTCAGGATTTATGTACATGTGTAAATCATAGTCTTGGAAAATATGAATCTGAAGTCATTACGACTTCCTTTATTGAACCTAATCTTTGACCCCAAAATTAAAATAGTTTAAAACACTGAGACTACACAAATAAACTAACAGCTGCATTTATGACAAAGCAGAGTTTTAGATGACTTCTCTATTTTGATAGTAGTGTTACAAGTAAATATTTGTGGAACGACGAGACAATAATAGGAGATACAAATGTAGGTATTTGTGGCCCCTCACTTCTGAATCCAGATTAAGGTGTTTTAACTGGTTTCCTTGTGATTCACTACCACCTAAATTTTGTTTCCATGTCACACTGTTTCCTTTTTATTATTTATTTACTCGGAATATATTTGATATTAATTATTCCATGTAATACTTGTGCTATGGCAGAGGTATAGGTTACTGTACATTTATAATTTGGTTGCTCTTAATTACCAGTGGGTATTACTAGTGAACACTACATGCTAGCCTGAGTAAAAAAAAGATCTCACACTATATTGTATTGCAGCTCAATAGTAGCACAAACCACAGAAGAATCAACACCTCTCTAAACATTATAATTTGCATTCTAAATAAATCTGGAGGAACTGTTACATGAATGTTGTATTGGACCGCACTAGTTTTAGTCTGGTGTACCTAATGAAATGCCAGATGAATTGGTTGATGTATGATTGATACACAAATGGCTAGTCCTTCTCAGAGCATTTATGTTAGTTTTGGTAAGTTTGATAAATAAATGGCCTGGACCAATATTTACCTCTCAAGAGTAGGAAATCTTGTGCCAGACGGTGGCAGTAGTGCAACACTACATGTGGCAGCAGGAAGAGAAATTGGAGGAGGGGGTATAGTGTTTTGTCTGACGTTGCTAACCCCAGCAAACAGGAAGACTAGGAGCTGAAAGACAAAAAAAAAACAGCACTGACACCAGTTGACAGCGTTAACCTAAGTAGGTACAGTAACTACACTTTTCTGTTGTTTGTTATGTTGCTAACAGGACCTCACAGCTAGGGGTATAGCATCACGTTAAGAAGATAGGAAGCTAACAGTTAGCCACAGCTACGGGGTCTTCGTCTAAAATCCCCGGTATTTAAGAAGTTCCGTCGTATTATTGCTAGCTGTTCAGAATTGCTCATCTAAATGTGGATGTTAAAATTATGGAAATAAAGTTCAAACAGACGGGTGTCTGTAACGTTTCATCGAAAACTCAGCCTAAAATGTTTTAGTTTAGCCTCCTCCGAGACTGTCTTATGTCGAGGTCTGTCGCCTATTTCTATAGTTTTTGCCGTAGTACCCACCTCAGTGGTTGGGATTACGTTATGTTTAGGTGTAACAGAGAAAGCTGGTTGCGGTTAGATTAGGGTAAAATGTGGGTTATGATACTGTAATGTTAATGGGAAATGGGCATATAATCCGAAACTCCCAGGGGAAAGTAGTGTGTGTTTGTCATATAGACACATTGGTGTTACACCAATGTGTCTATATGACAAACATACACAACACTAACACACAAAAGGGAAGATTTAGCTTAGAAATAAATCTAAATGGCTGCATATTAGTTTCTGCAACAAATGGAAATGCCTATCTCATGGTCACACGTTGACCTGTGCATTCCTTGTTTCTTAAATGTGACAGTTAGCAGTTTCTCTGTGTTTTATGATTTTAAATTGTGAATCTTTAGGTTTTGGACAAACAAACAAACAACCTGAATATATCAACTTGGGCTCGGTGTAATTATGATGGGCATTTTTCAATAATTTTAACTTTTTAAAATTTCAAATAAATATTTGTGAAATTATTTGGTATGCAGATTTGTCTCCGTTAAAATAAAAACATTAATTATCCAGTAAAGGACACACATAATGAGTAAGTACAGCATGTTCTATTATACACCCATTGTAATTAAACATGCAGCTGAGGAATGTGAAATCATTGCTGTACAACTTGTTTCAGTGGTTGAGTTGGCTCTGTTTTCAATATGTAGTTAACAAATGCAGCAGTTTCATATTCCTTTCACTGTGTTCCCACCTTATTTTGTTAAAAAATCAAAACAAAAACGTATCTTTAATTCATTACTTTGTAGAAATAGTCGTACTCAGCATGTCAGGATTGGGTAGTTGACCCCATTCTTCCCAGCAGATTCTCTCAATCTCCATCTGATTGGATGGGAAGCATCTGTCATGTGCCATCTTCAGGTTTTCAGTGAACGGGTCTTAATACTTTACTTCTGAAGTATTTCACCTCTCCTGTAAAAGCACAAGTCATTAATAAGCCAGTGCCGCTGCACAGTAAATATCAGTTGGAGATACAGAATTTAAACAAAACTGCTTACGGACATGATGTTCTCCCCTAAGAAGCGACAATTAGGGCATTGATTAATAAGTTAATTTACTAATGCATTGACCAAATGTAGCATATTAAATAAACATGAAATTAATGCCCTGTCATTCTGATTAATCACAGTTTTAATTGAAATAAATTAAATTTAAAAAACTGTTCTAGTTTATAAGTATATAGAGAAATGGGGGCATGGCAGCAGGCTACTTGAAAACCACTGGAATGCGCCTGTCATTTTAGAATGATTCTGATTTACACTAACATACACACAATAGAAAGAACAAAATTGGCTGGTGTCATGAATATGATGGTAATGTCTCCTGCACTTATTTTGTGCACAAGGTAAGAACATTTCTATGCGCATGTTAGTGAATAAGGTCCACTGCCTGTCTGCCGTTTGGTGTTTACAGTCTTATGCAAAAGTTTAGGCACCCCTTGATACATAACAGATTTTGGTGATTTTTTATTTGAACAGATGTTAACACAGTTTCTCTTGGAAATGGAAAAAATGCACAATATTTTCTGCAAACAGTGATGCATAGTTACTTCTTATGCCATAAATTGAACAAAAATAAAAAATAAAAACATTATTATGGCATGGTGCAAAAGTTTGGGCACCCTACACAATCAGTACTTAGTAACACCTCCTCTGGCAGATATCACAGCTTGCAAACGCTTTTCATAGCCAGCTAAAAGTCTTTCAATTCTTGTACTTGGGATCTTCTCCCATTCTTCCTTGCAAAAGGCTTCTAGTTCTGTAATATTCTTTGGTCGTCTTGCATGCACAGCTCTTTTAAGATCTACCCACAAATTTTCAATGATGTTTAAATCAGGGGACTGTGATGGCCATTCCAAAACCTTCAGCCTGCGTCTCTTGAGGTATTCCATAGTGGATTTCGAGGTATGTTTAGGATCATTGTCCTGTTGTAGAAGCCATCCTCTTTTCAGCTTCAGCTTTTTTACAGATGGTGTGATGTTTGCTTCCAGAATTTGCTGGTATTTAGTGGAATCCATTCTTCCCTCCACCCGTGCAATGTTTCCTGTGCCACTGGCTGCAACACAACCCCAGAGCATGATAGATCCACCCCCATGCTTAATAGTTGGCAAGGTGTTCTTTTCATGAAATGCTGCTCCTTTTTTTCTCCAAACATGCCTTTGCTGATTGTGTCCAAAGAGTTCTATTTTAACTTCATCAGTCCACAGCACTTGTTTCCAAAACGCATCGGGCTTCTGTAGATGTCCTGTTGCATACTTCAGACGTTGGATTTTATGATGGGGACGCAGATAAGGTTTTCTTCTGCTGACTCTTCCATGAAGGCCTTGTCTGTGCAAGCATCGCTGCACAGTGGAACGGTGCACCACCACTCCTGAGTCTGCTAAATCTTCCTGCAGGTTTTTTGCAGTCAAATGGGGGTTTTGATTTGTCTTTCTGACCAGCATACGAGCAGTTCTGTCCGAGAGTTTTCTTGGTCTTCCAGATCTCATCTTGACCTCCACAGTTCCCCTGATCTGCCATCTCTTAATTACATTTCTTACTGTGGAAACTGCAAGCTGACAACGCTTTGCTATCTTCTTGTAGCCTTCTCCTGCATTGTGGGCATCAATAACTTTCATTTTCAGGGTCTTACACAGCTGCTTAGAGGAACCCATGGTTGCTGGGTGTCCACAAGTGTGTGCACAAGGTTTGAAGAGTCAAAGTATTTGTACAGCTTTGAAATTGGCATTTACCAATGACAGCTGTTGCTGTGCATCAGATCTAACGAGCTGATTAAGGTCTGATACCTTGTGAGAGACTTTGAGACTCTGGAACTCTTAGGGTGCCCAAACTTTTGCACCATGCCATAATAATGTTTTTATTTTTTATTTTTGTTCAATTTATGGCATAAGAAGTAACTATGCATCACTGTTTGCAGAAAATATTGTGCATTTTTTCCATTTCCAAGAGAAACTGTGTTAACATCTGTTCAAATAAAAAATCACCAAAATCTGTTATTTATCAAGGGGTGCCTAAACTTTTGCATAAGACTGTATATGTATGTATGTATATGTGAGACAAAGAAAACCACATAATCATGATTTTATTATCAGAACAGATGCCAATAATCTCCCTATTGATCAGTTTAGTTAGTAATTGGGCATCTCTAATTCAAGAATAACTGTTACATATTTGTGTGTGGTGAATTTACCAGGTGATTTATTTTTCACTTACAGTTTGTGCCTAGTATGTAGTATTCTTCTACAAGTATGATTAAGGCTTCAGTTAACAAGCCTGGAATGCCTGATGCGTTCCTTTTAATTTAAATTTATTGAATGTATGTCATCTGTGTCTGTGTTATTGTGCTGTTTTATTTTTTGCACTGATCTTATTTATTATATTTTAGTTATTTATTGTGATTTTATTCTGACATGTAAAGTACTTTGGTCAACTGGAGTTTATATAAATAAATTTGATTTGAACAAGCATTTTGAACTATTTTGGGCATTTTATAGACGAAGGAGGGAATAATCAAGAAAACAATTATTAGTGGCAGTTTGGTCACTGTCTTCAAATTGATAATTGCCAATCATTTTCTATTATTATCTTCTCAATTCTGCTCGAAATTGTATTTAGATAATTTATGGATAAAATAGGTGGATTAGATTAATCAAACAATGATTGCAACGCTAAACAGGGTAAAGCTGCATTTATTAACAGCTACAACTGTGTTTTTTTTTTTTTCTCTCTTCTCCAGTGCCTGCTGCCAAAATGTTTATGAAGGGGATGATCATGGGAGGCATCTTCTGCCTGGTGCTGTCCCTCCTGGCTAGTTTCAACCCAAGCACTGAGCACACGACAGAGGATCACCATCACCATCACCTCCAGGCCCCAAGTAAAGATGAGCTGAAACACTTCTCACATAGTCAGATGGAGGATCTGAGCAATCAAGTCCGGGTCTATTGCATAATCATGGTCCAGCCCAAGATCCTTGTTTACTGGGCTGCGGCTATACACACCTGGAGCAAACACTGTGATAAGGCTGTGTTTTACACCTCAGAGGCTTCAAAAGCACTTGAGGCAGTAGATCTGAATGAAAAAGATGACTGGGCAAGGTTACGTAAAGCTTTGACACATGCGTATGAGAATGCCGGAGACCTGCGCTGGTTCTTTGTGGCACAACCCACTACATTTGCCATTATTGAGAACCTCAAATACCTGCTGCTCACAAAGGATCCCAATGAACCCTTTTACTTGGGGAATGCTGCAAAGTCAGGGGAGCTTGATTATGTGGTGTATGATAGTGGCATTGTCCTTAGCTACGAAGCTCTGAAAAGGCTGGTAAACGTGTTCAAGGATGAAGACAAATGTCCAGAAAGAGGAGGCAGCCTGTGGAATGTGGGTGAGGAAAAGCAGCTTGCTATGTGTCTAAAATACACAGGTGTGTTTGCAGAGAACGGAGAAGATATCCATGGAAAGGGCCTGTTCAACAGTAAGAGTGTCGAAAGCCTGATATCGGACAGCATGCAGGCCAACCCCACAAATGTGGTGGAGGGCTGTTGCTCTGATATGGCAGTCACATTCAACGGGATGTCACCAGATCAGATGCAGGTTATGATGTTTGGAGTTTACAGACTCCGTCCTTATGGACACGATTTTCATGACCTATTACTATTTGACCCTCCTGTGGGCTCAAACAATGACTAGACTCATTCCTTATGGTGGGATGTGGGATTTTAATGTTTTGCTTCTGTGATGGCAGACCTAACTTTGGGGAGGAGGTTTTCATATGTTGAGAATAAAACTTGATCCTGGGTGAAAATCTAATGTATATTTGTACTTTTTGCACTCGGCACAATCAGAAGCCCATTACTTTGTGGTGTAGATAAACAGTAGATGGATGTGCCATCTTTTGAATGAACATGGTACGAGATTAGATTATGTATGTTTTGGTCATTGTAATATTGTTATGCATCTTAAATGTTTGCCTTTTTGTTTCTAAAATTATTTAACTGTTGTAAGTGTGTGGTCTGCATAACCTCATTATGACGGGGCTTTGTTCTCAGAGAATAAATTACACTGTTTATTTAATGATTATACTGAAGCACCAATAATCAGTACTGAGTCAAAGATGTATCATGATACTGTCCAGTTCCATATGAAGTTTCATTCTTGCCATGATTTGTTGGGTTATCTTAACATGTGAACAATTTACCTTAGAGCTAAATGGAAAATAATACCTCAATGCTGACTTATGGGTAAATTATATTTCTTCTGGTACACATACAAAAGATTTTTTAAAATCAGTATAAGTAAATTTTTCTGCTGACATTTCAAAAATATGTGAGCATTAGAGAGGGCTTGTTTTAAAAAGTGAGACTTTGATATAATAAAAATAGGTTTGTTAACTGTTAGAAGGTGAAAATAAAGCAGGTATCTTTCCTGCTGTTGATCTTAAGCATACTGCAAATGACTTTGGTCAAGGGAAATATTTGTACAAATAAAGAACTGCTTTATTAAGCTCTCTACATTATATAACAATGAATGTATTCTACTGCAGACACACTGGGGCCACTGTTTTATATAAGGATAATTTGTGACAGTTGTGAGGTACTTTCATTATCTACATTGATTTGATGCCATTTCACACATGTATACATTTTAAAGAGTGATATTGGACTTTTTAGTGCCTGATGTATCTGACAGGTGTTGTTACTTTTCAGAATTATATTTTACATTCATAAAATATAATTCAGTGCTTGACTATTCAGCTGACTACTGGTGTCTGACAAATCGCAACATTAAAGTGTCCAATAATACAATGCATTGTTAACACTGAAATAAGTTAATAAAATGTTTCTGAGTGTAAATCCCTGGACACCAACCACTTCAGCCAGTTCCTTACTGTAAGCAGTCACATTTTACTCACTGGAGGAGAACTGGGAAATCTACATCACAATGCCACTCCTTCAGTCAACATGCAACCTGACTTTCAAGTCAAGTCAAGAGTCTTTATGGTCATTATGCATAGCACAACAAAATTGTTTTCTGGCACCTCTCGGCTTAAAAGACATTGTTTATATAACACAAAATTGTATAAGTCAATATAAAAAGGGATGTATGGGACCTAATAAGGTCAGCAGCATGTGAGTGTGGTAACATTATAAGGTGCAGCTCAGTGCAAATCTCAGTCTATAGGTAGAGGTGAGCATGGGTGTTTGTCTGCAGAGGAGACAGGACACATTCTTAGTCCAGTTAATAAATACTTGAAAACCTCATTGGACTGGCACTGGAATTAAATTTCACAACCACAGGGAATCTTTAGGTTCATACCAACTGAGGATCACATCTTAAGCAATAAATCTTTTATTTGTGCAGAATGACAGCTCATTCAAAGCCTCCAGCAGGTTACACAATTAAGTCCTTAGGCTAAAACATTTCACTGGAAGCTCATGCTTCGCCACACTCAGGTGGCACTGCAGAGGATCACCATCACCTCCAGGCCTTATAAAGATGAGCTGAAACACTTCTCACATAGATGGAGGAGCTGAGCAATCAAGTCCGGGTCTATTGCATAATCATGGTCCAGGCCAAGATCCTTGTTTACTGGGCTGCGGCTATACACACCTGGAGCAAACACTGTGATAAGGCTGTGTTTTACACCTCAGAGGCTTCAAAAGCACTTGAGGCAGTAGATCTGAATGAAAAAGATGACTGGGCAAGGTTACGTAAAGCTTTGACACATGCGTATGAGAATGCCGGAGACCTGCGCTGGTTCTTTGTGGCACAACCCACTACATTTGCCATTATTGAGAACCTCAAATACCTGCTGCTCACAAAGGATCCCAATGAACCCTTTTACTTGGGGAATGCTGCAAAGTCAGGGGAGCTTGATTATGTGGTGTATGATAGTGGCATTGTCCTTAGCTACGAAGCTCTGAAAAGGCTGGTAAACGTGTTCAAGGATGAAGACAAATGTCCAGAAAGAGGAGGCAGCCTGTGGAATGTGGGTGAGGAAAAGCAGCTTGCTATGTGTCTAAAATACACAGGTGTGTTTGCAGAGAACGGAGAAGATATCCATGGAAAGGGCCTGTTCAACAGTAAGAGTGTCGAAAGCCTGATATCGGACAGCATGCAGGCCAACCCCACAAATGTGGTGGAGGGCTGTTGCTCTGATATGGCAGTCACATTCAACGGGATGTCACCAGATCAGATGCAGGTTATGATGTTTGGAGTTTACAGACTCCGTCCTTATGGACATGATTTTCATGACCTATTAATATTTGACCCTCCTGTGGGCTCAGACAATGACTAGACTCATTCCTTATGGTGGGATGTGGCATTTTAATGTTTTTAACTTTGGGGTGGTGGTTTTCATATGTTGAGTATAGCAACATTAAAAAGTGTCTAATAATACAATGCATTGTTAACACTGAAAGAATTTAACCAACTGTTTGAGTGAAAATTCCTGGACACCAACCATTTCCTTACAGTAAGCAGTCACATTTTACTCACTGGAGGAGTAGAACAGGTCTAACTGGGAAATCTACATCACAATGCCACTCCTTCAGTCAGCATGCAACTTTGTTCACATTCTAAACTGCTTCAGTAGACAGGACACATCCTTACGCCAATTCATAAATACTTGAAAACCTGATTGGACTGGCACTGGAATTAAATTTCATAACCACAGGTTCACATGCAAAACACCAATTGAGAATCAGATCTTAAGCAATAATTCTTTTATTTGTGCAGAATGTCATCTGATTCAAAGCGTCCAGCAGGTTACGCAATTAAGTCCATAGGCGTAAACATTTGACTGGCAGCTCATGTTTCGCCACACTCAGGTGGCACTGCAGATGATGTCATCATTTATATGTCTTCATGTGCCACAGTCCATCGTTGAGATAGTGAACGTTCTCAATTCCAATTCCCTTGTTGACTTTCTCTCTGTTTATGAAGGACAAACAGGTTAAGATTATAAATAATTCGAGCAGCAATAGAAAGTTCTTGCTCCTCTGAAATGTACACAATCTTACATGCTTTCTGCAGACATCTTCATAACGCCAACACAAAGTGCATGTTGTTTTCCCTCTGCCATTATGGCCTGCATCCACTTGTTAAAGCAAACGTGTTAATTTAAAAAGTGAAAGGAAGGTGACGTTTTTTTTGTGAAGTTGCAAAATCTATAGCACAGGATAATTTCAGTGCAAAAATCAAATAGCTTCCATGTGCAGCATCATGCATATACAAGGATACAACTACTGTGTCAGCGTCAGCTGGGTACAGTTTAGCGCCTGGTGATGTCAGCCCTGGACACATGATGTTGGCTCCACTTAAGACAAACTTAATTGCCCCTTTGTCTACTTGCTGGTGTGGCAGAATGAAGGGATCTGTGAAA